CGTGAGGCTAACAGTGGGGGCATCGCTGTCTGTACACGTCACATACAAGTGAGTGGGGCTAGTCGCTGTCGCACAGCATACAGGTAAGTCGCATACGAGGTTACTGCACAGGAAGCAAAGAGCACATGAGGCAACGCAGCAGTACTTTGTGATAGGTCGCTGAACGTGGGCTTGGCACGCCGCACGGGTGCGGGGAGTAGCGTACTATTATGTAATCCGAGAATTGTACCGTAGAGTAGCCACCTATAAATATCCTCGTCCATGCTCGATCTAGAACCGGATGAAGCATATGAACTTCTCAGTACTGTCGTAATTTGTCCCAATATGGTTGTCAGACGTTGAATAGACCGGAACATACCAATATCGGGGGGAAAAGATGCAAATAGACGTGAAAAGTCGATCGACGGCAAATAGCTTTTTGTGCCTTTTGCCACCGTTTTCCATCGATTGATACCGATTTCTAGCGATTGTTACATGTTTCTGTCTGGCGAAAAGACAGTAATACCTACAAATCGATAGAAATCGGTATCATTCGATGGAAAACGGTGACAAAAGGCACAAAAAGCTATTTGCCGTCGATCGACTTTTCACGTCTATTTGTATCTTTTCCCCCCGATATTGGTATGTTTCACTCTATTCAACGTCTGACAAACAGATTGGGACAGATTACAACAGTACTGAAAAGTTCGTATGCTTCATCCGGTTCTAGATCGAGCATGGACGAGGATATTTATAGGTGGCTACTCTACGGTACAATTCTCGGATTACATAATAGTACGCTACTCCCCGCACCCGTGCGACGACATTCAGTGACCTAAAGTACTGCTGCATTGCCTCACGCGCTCTTTGCTTCCTGTGCAATAACCTCATGCGCGACTTACCTGTATGCTGTGCGACAGCGACTAGCCCACTCACCTGTATGTGACATGTACAGACTGAGACAGTGATGCCCTACCTGTTAGCCTCACGGTGAGTGAGTGTACCCAAGGACAGGAAGGGATGGTGAGACTCTCACCATCTCGGAGGAGGGAAGAAAGGGTGCAGAGACGGGAGGACGGCCATCGCCCATGTTTATAAGAGTGTCGCAAACACCGATGGCGTCATGGACGAAGGAGCCGGGACGAGATCGAAGACAAGGTTGGAATGGATATGGTCGGAAAACCGTCGGTTGGCACACAGGCAGTATATATAGTGGACATGGATGCAACAGTAGTATATACGTCAAAGACCCGTTTGATACTTTCGATCGACGTCAAATGGTCTACTGTATATATAAAACGAGCCAATCGATATATGAAATGAGCCGCTTTAGACGCCGAGCTGTCAAACAAATCGCTCAGAAAAGACGGCATTAGATGGCAATAGGCAGCAATCGTTGGCAATAGGCGGGGTTTTCACTGGGGTTGAACCCCAGTGAGAACCCTGTCTGTTTCCTACTATTCTGGTCTTTTTCAGCCGATTTCTGTCTGGCGAAAAGACAGAAATACGTAGCAATCGCTAGAAATCGGTATCAATCGATGTAAAACGGTGACAAAAGGCACAAAAAGCTATTTGCCGCTGATCATCTTTTCACGTCTAGCTACATCTTTTTCTCCCGATATTGGTATGTTCCACTCTATTGAACGTCTGACAAAAAGATCGGAACAGATGACAACAGTATCATAAAGTTGGTGGGCTGCTTGATGCGGTTCTAGATCGAGCATGGACGAGAATATATATAGGTAACTACTCTACGTACAATTCTCGGATTACATAACGGTGCCTACACTACTCTCCGCGCCGCACAATAATTTATCATGCTGCCGCATTGCCTCACATGCTCTTCGTTTCCTGTGCATTGACCTCATACGTGGCTTACCTGTACGTGCAGCGGCCACTCACCCACTCACCTATATGCAACGTGTGGGGATAGCAATACATCTATGACCTACCTTTCAGCCTCATAAAGGTGAGCGAAGGCATCCAAGGAGAGGAAGGGATGGTGAGAGGAGGGAAGAAAGGGTGCCGAGACGCGAGTATGGCCATCGCCCATGTTTATAAGAGTGTCGCAAACACCGATGGCGTCATGGACGAAGGAGCTGGGACGAGATCGAAGACAAGGTTGGAATGGATATGGTCGGAAAACCGTCGGTCGGCACACAGGCAGCATATATATAATGGACATGGATGCAACAGTAGTATATATGTCGAAGACCTGTTTGATACTATCGATCGACGTCAAATGGCCCATTGTATATATAAAACGAGCCAATCGATACATGAAACGAGCGACTTTAGACGCTGAGATGTCATCCAAATCGCTCAGAAAAGACGACATTAGATGGCAATAGCCAGCAATCGTTGGCAATAGGCGGGGTTTTCACTGGGGTTGAACCCCTGATGAATATCGTTCCCGCGGCGACCACACGGTGGGGAATCCTGATATCTAGACGGGGGAGCGTACGCGTGCTGTGCGGGATACTATCGCGACCCCAGTGTTCGGACAGACCCCAGTGTTCGGACAAACTGCCGTGGCTCCCTCACCTGCTGTCCGATAAAGCTATAAAATTGCACAATGATGCAACGTAGAGACTCAAGTCAGATAAAAAAAGAATGGCGTGGATTGAGCGAGGTGTTGTTGCGATCTGGTAGCAGGAAGAGGTTCAGCAGATGAGCCATGTGCAATGTTGGTACTCGGTCCAGCTTCCTTGTCGAGCGCTCATCCCCGAAAAACTTTGGCACCGTTTCCTAGGCATCCTGTATATTATGCATATTTTTCCGAAGGTATCTGAGGTACAGAAGATGTGCAGTAGAATACCGGCCATCGAGCGTGACCTTGCGCCACAAGACAGTCCTTCATTGTCAATCTCCGCTCGAGCGCCTGTGCGCGCGAATCTGCACACTCGGGTCGGAGTCTTAACCGGCAGTTCTCGGCATATGTGACTTTTCGTGACCACTCCGCGGAGAAATGTCCGAACACTGGGGTCAAGACCCACTCCTCGCCCTCCCGTCCTCTCACTTCTGAACGGAGTGCTTTCATATTTCTCAGGTGTGTTCTATCATGGTAGATGCATGATCCTACAAATTTACATGATTATCGCCGCAGAGGGGAGGGAGCGACGCGGCGAACAGTTGTACTGGGCGCTCAGTTGTCCGAACACTGGGGTCGCGATAGTATGGCCTTCTCGCCGGACGGTGGTTCCGGCATCGGAGGGTCACACGGTGAAATTATAGGATTCATATCGGACCCACATCAGGTCTTATCGGTTGAAGGACACACCGATACTTAGTCAGTACAACGTGGTTCTATCCGTGCGGGAAGTACGTCACACTAGTAACGGTGCGGTGACTGTAGAGGACAAGTGATGGGCGGCGACACTCTCCGATCATAAGGAGTAGGAGACGCGCGCTGCTTAGGTAGTTCGAAGGTACGGTCGTTTGTAGCCCGGAGTGGGATTATGCTCAGCAGAAGAGTGAACGGTGTCAGCCAGCCGGGGTAATCGAGACTGTAGCGAGTAGCATCGATCAGAGACGATGTGCAGGAACATTTCTCCATACTAAGTACATGATTCGTGTCGAATGCTCGATAGCTTCTGCTTCGGACCGCGCCATACGCGTCTTACAAAGCTGCAAAGCCACCCTAAACCTCATCCTGCGGGTATCTGGTGACCTGGCCGCTCACTTTGGCCTCTCCCGGCGCCACGAACGGGAAGAGGAAGCGCTCTTCGTCAGGGTTGACGTACCCGCTGTCAAACACCAACTGCGGGTCCTGGTGGCTGGTGTTCCAGAGTAGCTCGGGAGGGACCGGCTGCAACTCGTCAGGGCTGAAGCCCTTGTAGTACGGGTTGAGCAGACCCTGGTCGAACTGTTTCTTTATGTACCTCTTCGCTTCGTTGAATAGCACGCTGTAGGCAGGAACGCTGCGCTTCTTGGCGACCCGGTCCTTGATGACCGCAGCGATAGCGAACGCCCACGGGTCGTGCAATCCCTCAGGACGCTTGACAGCCTTGATGTTGAACTGCGTCTCGTGACATCCGGAGAGCAGGATGCCTGGAGTCTTCGTGTAGGTCCCCAACTGCGCCCCACCTGAGGACGAGGCGAGAATCGTCAGGTTGACCTCTGACTTCAGATGCTAGTAAAACGGCACATCAGCGTTCGAGCCGTAAGAACCGGACAGTTACGAAATGTAAACCTACAGATCGAATTGTGCTGGTGAACCAGTCGCCATCAACGAGCCCCTCCTGAACTCCATCCTCGGCTGCGGCAAGCACCCACCCGTAATCTTTTCCGTCCGCCGGTTTGAAGCGGTCGTTCTCGCCAGGGTACGTGGTGCCGTGTGCATCGATATATACGAAGCGCACGTCCCCGGCCTTCGCCCCGGAGACCAAGTCGGTGAACTTTGTCTTGAAGTTACTGACGGTGGGTGCCTTCTGTCCCTTGGTGGACTGTTTCGCGCCGTTACTGGGCTCGACATCGTAGTAGAGCAGCTCGACATCATCGGTGGCAAAGCCGAGGTGTTTCGTGAGCATCTCCTCGATATAGAAGATGCCGTCGTCGGTACCGGTGCCGTAGCGAACGATGAGTGCCTGTTGTGGTAGCGTTGATACGGTCCATCAACGATACTACTCCGAGCATGGAACACAACAAGTGCGCACCTTTTTCGTGCCGAGCGACCTGAAGTCGGTCTGCACGAACTTATTGCCCTCAGACTTGCCACCTCTCGGGTTCGACAGCGTGAGCGAGCCCTCCTTGCCGTCGAAGCTGAAGTCGTAGGTGTAGTACGACGCCTTAAACGTCGCGGTGACGTGCCCGCTCAGGTCGGCTCTGACGTTCTGGAAGACACCATTGACGGGGTGGTTCGCCTTCTGATTCCCCTCAGCGTCGACGGTCCACTGGTGGTAGAGCCCGAAGAACGCGCCCTCGGAAACGCCGTCGGGGATAACGAGGGTAATCATCTCGTTCTTCGCGTAGGAGTACCAGTTGAGCTTGCCGGTGTAGACTACGGTGGAGGGGATGCGTGATTCGTCGGCATGCATAGCGGGTAGGGTGAAGGGGCCGGCGCGGTCGTTAGACGGGTTGCGCATGAGGAGGGAGATGGATTTGAAGTCGGCGGCGAGGGTCACGTCGAAGCTGTAGTACCCGAAGGAGACATGGACGCGATACTCGTCGGCGGTCTTGACGACGCTGCTGATGATGCCAGACTGACCCGGGAACCGGCGTGCGTTAGCTGCAACTGGAAACCTGACTATAACGGGCCACTTACGCGGGGCGTATTGTATTTCTGGTTGCCTTCGGCGTCGACTGTCCATTGCCAATAAGCGTTGACGGGGTCGTTGAGTGCGAAACCGACGGGGAAGACGAAGGTGATCGTCTCGTTCAATGCGTAGCTATACCAGGTGAATTTGCCATTGTAGATGAACATGTTGGCTGTGGTGTCGAGAGCTTTCTGGAGTGAGAGGTGTAGTCGGAAAGCTTGTTGTTCGTTGGCGATTCCCTATGTCTCCTTATATGTTGTCGACACAACAGTCCTTGACACCATGAATGGGCGCCCAACGGACCATCGTGAGCAGAATGCGTCGACTCGTGCTGCACATGAGAGGTGGTGTTTAGTCATTTGTGGCGACAGGAGGAATGGAAGAGTAGACTAATAGGTAGCACGGGCTTCTCATGTCCATACTATTGATGAAGATTTGCGCTAAGACGTTGTGATATCCCCCGGCCTCTCCAGCGTGAGATCTCACGATGACCATGTCGCCGGTGTAGACTGACAGCGACTCTTCATGCGAGAGGCTCCCAGACAGTGCTCGATGCAAAGTTTCCTAGAGAGGCCATCGGGAGAGAAAGTGTCCGGGGCTCCCAAGATGTTTTGAATAACACGAGTCCGGGACGAATGCATCTCCATCACGAAGATCTCACCAGCCCCCCGTTTGGAAGTATTAGGTGTAGGACGGCGACATGATGAAAGCCTCATGGCGTGAACGAGGCATCGCGTGATGTGCAAGCGTGACGACCTCGAGTGAACACACTTTAGTCCAGGATTCCGCTCTATTTTTTGCAGTTGGTCGCTGTAGATGCAATCCAGCGATTGTTTGAGACACGAAACTACACAGATGCAGCGTTATGCGACAAAAAACAGGTAGAATTGCATTACTAGATGTCTTACATGAACGCCACGGGCTTCCCTTTCAAGCAGCAGGTCCGACAACGTCTGCACCAGGTAACAACCACCGGAAAGTGATACTGAGCCTGATGTCCCGCTCGAGTAAGACGTTCTGCGGGCTGCCTGGAGACTCCTCGACCCAGTCGTCGAAGCGCTTCTCAATCCCATGTGTCCATCCGTACCGTGCCTCCTCCGTCATGATAAGCACACTTCCTTTCGGTAGGTACAGTGCGCATTGGCCTGGTGCAGGAGAGGGCGACGGTGAATCTGGAGGGCTGAAAGGGGGTTCGTCCAATGGCACCTTCGTAAATTGCATTGCACAACCTGAGCCTAAGCTGACCCCCATGATACCGTCGCCATACCGGTGCGGCAGGTCGACGTGAGGCGTTATGCCTTCGCCAGGCCAGTAAAGATTGATAATCGCTTGGCGTGCTCGCGGAGGTCCTTGGTGCGAAGCAGGCGCGGGAGAGAACAATACATCATGGACCTCTGGAGGTACACGTGGCCGTAAAAGGAGATCAAGTGTGGAGAGGAGGTCGGCGAGGAAGGATGGCAGCTTGGTGGAGGGGTTGGAAGACGTACCCTCTGGGTCTGAGGAAGGCGCACGCTCAAAAAGCATGACTTGATTCCCAGTGCCCTCATGGAAGAATGTACGGATACACGTCCACATGAGGTCCTCTTGAATGTCTTCTGGGAGAAGGAGGGTTGAATCGAAATGGAGGCCTGGGATAGATGGAGCGGTGCGCTTCGCCGGGAACAAACCAGGATCTGGGAGCAGCTCGCTTGCTCCCCGGGCAGTGCTAGTCATAGCAGTGCGCAAATCATCGATGTCTGGCATGTCCAGCCGCGGTGAAGGTTCGTCGAACAAGGAGTCGCCCTCGGAGTCTGTACTTGACAAGAGTTCGTCAAGGTTTGGGGATAATGCCTCGAGCGCTGCGACATCGGTGACAATCCGCAAGGCCTTCCTGCCTAATTCCCTGGTATCTCCTTCCTTTGAGGCTTTCTGGGGTCCATACTCGGCATCGTCTATAGGCCGTTTCCGTTTGTTGGAGAGGACAGGAATGCGGGACTCGGGGAGGGTCATGGTGGTTGACGAAAGCGAGCCTGCGCAGGTTGTGATGTACTAGAGTCCTGCCCCAGCAAGTAGCATAACGCACGTTCTAGTCAGACCGAGGGAACGAGATGTCAGCCTAGCCCAATTGCCCACACCGGAGCCGTCGTCGGCGGAGGAAGCAATGAGACGCCCTTCCTCTAGATATTTGGAGGAAATTACGTAATAAGCGCCGCCGACATTGCAACAGCGAGCGCGCTCCTCGACGCGACGTCGCCCTCAACTGGACCCCTCAGTCTGACTCCGCCAATCTCACCTTACTTCGACATGGAGGAGACGACGGCATCAGGAAGACCCACTGTGGACAGAGAGAAGGTTCGTGGGTTCACAGCCTGCATCGACTAGGGAGGTTGCTCATGACGCGGTATTCAGACGGCACCGTTTCTCATTCGGACTTTCGTCAAGATCGGGACATACCACCGCTTGGCCCAGTTCGAAGATGGGCCGCTGCCTCTTGCTGACGAGCAGCAAATATACACCTGGTATGTGCTTCGCCACGAGCAGGCCTCTTGTCGCGTCTCGCCTCCCTGACGCTGGCTCGTGTATCTCCAGGAAAGACGCAACGCTGCGCGAAGTCCTGACGACCCTCCGCTCTTCCGCCCCCGCCTCAACCGAGTATCGCCACCCGCTCGCCCGCTACTCCTTCCGCGCCGTCTTCGCAGACGCCGCGGCGCGCGGCCGCTACTCGCAAAAAGACCTCGGCATGGTCTACTCCCGCGACATCCTTGGCGAGCCCGGCTCGCTCGTCCACACCGCACCCCGCCTCCTCGAGGACGTCGAACCCGAAACGTCTAGCAGCTCCGAGTCGGACAAGACGCTCGACGAACTGCGGTTCGTACCCGGGGACTATCTCTGCGTAATGGTGACCCTCCCGAAGGGCGTTGTTCTGCCCTCTGGACCCGGGGGCGAGCTTTCCATCAAGGGTAGCGCTGTTGGAGGGGCTACGAACGGATGGAAGGGTGCCGGAGGCGGCGGACGTGGAGACAGCGGGTGGGGCGGAACCGTGGCGGCCAACCCAGGACCCGGCTCAGGACGTGGCGGTGGAGGACATTGGCGCGGAAACTCAGGCCCCGATCATGGCGTCGGTCGTGGGGGTCGTGGTCGTGGTGGGGACGTCGGCAGAGACAGAGACAGAGACCGGGAGCGGGACAGAGATAGGGACAGAGACTTCAGGGACCGGGACCGGGATGACCGACGTGCGCCCCCACCGAGGAGGGACTCGCCGCCGCCACGGCGCGGTGACGGTGGCTGGGGCAGAAGGGCTCCCCCCTCACGGTCGCGTAGCCCGCCGCCGAGGAGACGTGGCCGGTATGATTGAGTTTCGCTCAGACCACGCGCTGATGCTGTTTTCTCCCTCTGATTTTTGCCAGTTGTGCGTTGCCGTGTCGTGGATGTTGCTTGAATCTATTGCCGCCTTCCCTCGAGATAACCATTCCTGCCCCGATGTTTCGTTGTTCATGTGAGTACCTGGCCTGTGGAAATACGAGAAAGTGCGCTCATTGTAAAGTAGTCAGGATCGTTCTCGTTAGCAACCCTCTGTGACCATGTACTGTGAGATGCTCCTGTTTTCTGTAGGCACACAAGCTGCCCCTGCATACTGAATGAATGTCCATTTTCGCCTTGAACCATTATGCCAGCTCGGCTTGCCTTTGAGTCTCTACACGCGACTCGTCTTGTCTCAACCTGGATCAGAAGACCGTGTATGCGTGATAATACCGCAGGTCCTTGCCCTCACCATCTGCGGAAGTCGGCTCTCCATGGAGACTGCTCAAATGGCTCGATTTGCACCAGTCGAGAATGTCAGCTGAGTCTAGTAGAGAGATATGGCTATGACATCTGCATCGCACTATGTGCTTGCAGGTGTGCTCGAAGAATAGCGGGTACAATAGTGGGTCCTCGTGACGTACCAAGATCACGTATGATGATGAATTATCAGACGATGTATACAGAGCACGAATGTAATTGCATAGATGATAGCTGGTGACAGCATGAATATACGGCTTACATGACATAGGGTAGAATGTTTTGAAATCTCAGCAGTGTACAGTATGGTGCAAGAAGCTGTGGCTGCATAGTGGAAAACGGGTCTAGCAATAGTTATAAAACGATACAAACTGTTGGTTGATTAGATCCCGAGTGGACCAGTTGCGAATCCGTGATGTAGGAGGTATCAAAGGAGCCGAAATCTATGTATGCTACAGTGGGGGGAGATGGGACACGCAAACCGAGGAGCGACGAGGGTACACCAGTAAGATACTGTCCGTATGAGATGTGAAGCATGGTGGATGTAGGGGGATGATTGAGCGATGGGAGCGATAGGGAACATCGAGAGCAGAGCAACTCCGAGAATAGTTTTAGGCATAAATATCGTCCGAGCCTGTCGTTTTGTCGACATCCGAGTCCGAATCCCGCGGACACAGTCGTCATAGGACGCCTCACGCGTTCATCGGCTCGCAATCGAACTCCAGGTCTGTCGCGACATCCTCCCACGCGTCCATCGTGTTGAGGAGCTTCGCGGTCTTTGCGCGGATGTCTGCGTACGCGTCGCGCCCGAGCACGAGCCATAGTGGCCACTCACGGCCCTTGGCGCGGCCCTCGCCCTTTACGACATCGACGAGGAGCTCCATCGCCTTGGCGGGGTCGCCTCGCTCTTTGCCCGCGATGGCCGCGAAGCGGGCCATGCCCGTATTCCGTGCGTCCTCGTATGCAGGGATGCGTGTGTTGATCGTCGCAGGATATGCGTGCACGCCTTCTGTGCGGAAGGAGCCTGGAGCGACAATCAGCACCCGGACACCGAATGGCCGGAGCTCAGTGGCGTAGGTTTCGCCGATCGCTGAGGAGAAGGTCAGCCAATGATTTTCAGGGAGCTGTAGAGAGCGGAGCGCTCACCTTGTACGGCAGCTTTCGATGCAGCATAGAGGCCTGCGGGCTAGATGGAGGATGGCGAATATCAGCGATCGGCTTTTTGGGATGTTGCTCCAGGCGGGGAAGACATACCGAAGCCTCTGGGCGCCATGCAGAGCGGGAACCTAGGATGACAACCGTACCGGAACGGCGTTCCCGCATGTGTGGGAGGACTGCGTTCGTAACGTTGAGTACGCCGAAGAGGTTTGTTTGGAACTGGGTAAGCGCGGCAAGGGCCCTGATAGACGGATCTGTCAGTATACATTCCGGCAAGGGAAGGACGAATGCCGAAGTACTCACCCTCCCTCTTCCAAGATGGCCTTGACACCGTAACCCGCGTTGTTCACGATGACATCGATGCGACCCCATACGGCCAGTGCGGCCTTGATACGCTGCGCGATGACCATGGTGTTGTCTGATATGTCGAGCTCGGCTAGGTGTAGGTTGGGATTTGACGAGGGAAATACTGCGCGGAGCTTCTGGATGTCGCGTGCAGTAGCAATGACGCGGTCCCCTCGTGCTAGTACTGAGGCTACTAGACGCTTTCCGAAGCCAGACGAGGTACCTAAGGGACAAAAGAGGCAGGAAAGTGAGCTTCGATCGTGGGCGATACGGCGGCTGGCTGGCGAGATTGACGCACCGGTGATGAGCCAGATCTTCTGCTGGTAGACACCCATAGTGCTGTGACCAAGTGTGTTGTGTCGTGTGGGTGACAGACGAGACAGTGACAGAAAGAGGAAGGGCAGGAGATGAGGGGAATGAAACAGTCGTTGGGAGGATGAGAGGATGCATGGCTGACAGGAGAGGCAGTATAAGTACGAGTCGCGGTGAGTCGAGCGGGAGGCGGCGCACTGGCCCGGAGCTTGCCACGCTTCACTCCGAAGTCTGTGTACTTGCGTTCGTTACATGTTTGCGAAGACCGAGGACTGCTGCAGGCAGAGACTCGCGCACACGGCGCCGGGACAGCCCTGTCATGATGAGTCGATGTCAACCTATTCCTGGACCGAGATACTGGATCAACCCACTTACAGAAACAGAACCCAGATCCCGATTCGGATGGTGCTTCACACTCCGAAACACCTCTCCTCGCTGGACCAGATTGATCGTCCCGATGACCCACAGTAAGTGCGCACGGCGGCGGTGCACCGAGGCCACATCTGGACCGTCGACGCCCGGCCAACGGCGACGGACGGCAGTCGTGCCACAGACAAAGTGGGAATACAAGCAAGCAACAGCGACGATACACACCATTGAACGCATTACAGACTCCATCCATGCGATCGTCGTCAACCAGTCCAAGTAGAACTGGCTGGCTCTTCACACCGACATCTGGCGCCGCTTCGGTGATGAACTGTTTGTAGCCCGGCTGACACACTCCCGCAAAACGTCGAGTCATCGCAACTCTCCGGCTCACCAATCCGAGGGCAGTGTGTCCCTACTCCTTCAGACCAGCCTAAAACTCGTCTAACATACATTGACGTGGCCTTGAGGCGTCAGGTTCCCGGTCATAACCCGGTATTTGCATTGGTATGGCGCGGAGGAGGATCAACGTTACCCCGGTCGGAGAGCTCTTACGCACCCGCCACACTGCTATCTGCTCCCGCCCGCTGCTGACATAACAAGTTCCCATGGAGGCGGTAGGACGGAATGGCGACAGAGCGGCTGGAAGTTTGCACGAAGTTCGGGAGATGCCATCGTCACCGCCTGCACTGAGCGGCACTGCTGCGTTACACCTCATGCGCAACGCGACACGACCGCATCCAGAGTGGATTCGAGCTCGTCGAGCACAGGCAAATGCGCCGCAGTTGCCGCCTCGGGACCGAACCAGGCACAACGATATCCGAGTATCCATAACTCAAACTCCAATCTTTACAGGCATATTTGGACAAATGCTGCGCAGCCAGAGTGGTCCGGCGGGACCACATTATGCATTACAATGAAGCGGACATGTGCTCGTCGTGTTGCTATCATTGCTAGGATCCATTTCCACCCTTGTTCTGGTGTACTCGGGCTGACTAGCTGCCCGCCATCGCGCAGATTTCGGCCCAGACACAGCGGGGAAGGTGGACCGCTCGTAGCCCAAATTGCGGACCGGGCGGATCTACGACAGCTAAGGTGTTGATAATGCCAACTAACGTGCAACCGCCCGCATACGCCTACTGCGGCAATTCAAACGGTGTCTACCAACTGGTTGACCGTTGACGGATTCCACAGACCCACGGACGTCATGGACCACGCGTGAACGTCGATCCACCAAATCGAAGGCAGGGCAGGCGCGGTGAGAAGCCGTAGTTGGCCCTGGCTGTTTCGGTGTTCGCCTGGTATTCCGGAGAAGTTAAAAGGACCGCGCGGCCCGTTTTAGAGTTAAGCTCCAGCGCGTGGTCCGCACATTCAGGGTATTGTTACAGCCATGAAGACTTGATGGATCGCAGATACTAGCCGCATGACTGACCATCTCGTATCCTATTCAACCATGGCGTTCGTGCGTCGGCCCTGGCCATCGGCCGAGAATCTGCGAAGAGGTCGTTGCTTGAGCAGCCGCCCCCAGTCGTCAGCTTGGAATGCCTGGAAGAGCAACGCGCACGCGCAGCGACTATCCACATATCCGCGAATGTCGGCCCCACGTGGCACGATGTACACCGCGGGGGAGCAACGCAACAGCACCCCGGTGACCGCATACTCACCATAGCCGTACGTACGCAGGAAGCATCGCCGCTGTGCCACACGGGGTGCGGCCTCCGAGTCCTCTTCACATCTGGCCTGTCAAGATGGACATGTCTAGGGGGGGCATAGCTCCCGGAAAGGCACGTTCTCGGTGATATTGACAATGTGAGCAGACTGGCCGCCCGCAAAGGGGAAGTCAACAAACAACATCCGAAGTGGCAGTGTTCGTTCATACTCACCTTCAAATTTTACCGACATTGTTAGGCTTCGGGGACACGCTCCCTACATCGCTTCCCGTGGCCGTGCTTCTCGTCCATCCATCAGTATCCGGGCGTGAAACCGTTCAACGCTCTATAGCCTTACCTGTAACCTGGGGCACGTTATAGGTGCCCAGATACCGTCGCCTTGTAGCCTGCCTGCCACATGCTAGGTGCTGGTGGGTGACATCATGCGGTCGAGGGAAGACACTGGTCAGCACAAAAGGGAGATGTCGCACGGAGGGTGCAGATCACCGCCTGGGACTGTGACTTTGCTGGATTAGATGCTTCGGCGCAGGGACGCAACACAGCACAGGTGATCTAGCTGAGACATGCTCCAAGTCTGGCAAAGCCTTGAAGCGCATTGTCCTCGGATTGCAGTGTCGCCGCGAGATGGGCATTGACTCCCGATCTTGCGCAGGAGACACTTGTTCAGATACGTGCTGTGATTGGATTTGAATTGCATGAGACGAGAGATGGTGTCGTGGCTGACACCACTTGAAGTATGGCTGCCAACAGCGGGTACCTCAAGCTTGGTGTTCTTGGAAGTTACGCCGCCGCCAACCTGATTTGTGATCTTGTCATTCCATTGCAGAATTTAGAAGCCAGGATTGCGGTCTTGTATAAGTACCGGTGGCGTCACCACGGTGGTGGCAGATGATGGTGGCGGCAAGCTGCATGCAGGCAGGTACATAGGCGAGCGCGCTTCGAAAGCGGCGTCGAGCGCCAAAAGGTCCGGCATTAGTAGCTCAGTTGGTAGAGCACGTCGGTCGTTCGAGTCGTACTCGGCTCATATGGCAAACTCTTCCTCTGACGCATCCATCCGACATGGCTATCGCGCTGGCCCGGCTGTTAGCTATCATGATACTGACAGCGGCCCCTCTCCATCGACGTTTTCCATGCAAATGATTAGGCGTACCCTCCAAGCCAGCAATTGACATGGATTCGAATGAGTCATCAGTTCAATTGTGGGAACACATGGCGAGTACGAGGGCCCAGTCGGCCCGTGGATCCTGTCGGAGCTGGCCATACGCTTTCAAGAGGAGGGCAAGGAGATCGCAATCCTCCTTGCACCGCAACACTGGTATGGTGTCTAGATGATATCGTGATTGAGCGTATCTACTGACTCATCTGCCACACAACCCAGGTACTACTCCTACCAGGAAACTAGTCACTTAGGAGCACCTGGAATTGGGTCCAAGGCGATGTCATCAAAGTCCACCCCACTACCTCTAAGCCGAGACTCCGTAGTCGCTGCGCACAAAGTAGTGGAAGGGCAGATTCACCGGACACCGGTCCTGACGTCGTCCTCGCTGTCCGCCTTGCTGCCGAGTAAGAACACCTTGTACTTCAAGGCCGAGAACCTCCAGAAGGGTGGTGCTTTCAAGTTCCGCGGCGCCAGCTACAACTTGTCATGCCTGGCGCCAGAAGAGCTCGCGAAAGGTGTTTGTACGCACAGTTCAGGTAAAACGTCAAAAGTGCATACCCGCAGATATGATCTCGATGCTCACTCTAGGCAATCGGCCATCCCTATTGCATCTCGCAAGGCAACCACGCCGGAGCGTTAGCTCTCGCCGCAAAGTTGCGAGGCGTCCCTTGCTATGTAGTGATGGTGCGTGTGCCTCGCAAGGTCTGACTAGAGTGCGCCCACACGCCCCTATTCCCTACTCCGGCGTTCTATATTGCTACCAGATTCTATAGAAGCGTCCCGATCTCTGGTGACTGACATAGCCTCCCGGGCATTCCAGCCGAATAACTCCGCGCAGCCCAAGATCGACGCCGTGCGCGCATACGGCGCTACTATCACGTTCTGCGAGCCCAACGCGCCCGCGCGCGCCGCCACGCTCGCATCGGTCCAGGCGCAAACCGGGGCGACGTTCATTCCCCCATACGATGCGGTCAACACGATTCTGGGCCAAGGGACCGCGCTCTTGGAGCTCATCGATCAGGCCCCAGAACCGCTCGCAGCTGTGATTGCTCCAGTGGGCGGAGGGGGCCTTCTCGCGGGTACGGCGCTAGCTGCGGACGGCACTGGAATTCGAGTCTTTGGCGCGGAGCCGGTGGGCGCGGACGATTGTGCGAGAGGACTGGAGGAGGGGAAGAGGAGAGAGAACGTGGACGCACAGACCATCGCGGATGGACTGAGGACGCCCGTCGGGGTCCTGAATTTCCCTATCATCCAAGAGAAGGTCGAGAAGGTCATCACTGTCACGGACGAGGTATGTCCACGGACCTCGCCCTTGGGTTGGGTGCACTTATTCATTGTTTATGCGCGATATCGAACAGGAAATCATTGAGGCCATGCGACTCATGTGGGAACGCTTAAAGATTGTAGTCGAGCCCAGTGGGGCGGCGTCGTTCGCTGCGATCCGGAGTCCGAAGTTTCAGGAGTTGGGCATCGAGGGCCCTGTCGGGATCATTATCAGCGGCGGAAACACTGACCTGTCCAAGCCCTTGCCATGGGTGCGAGCAGATCATTGACTGCCACGCACACAGCCGTCTCCAACCATGCTGTTCTGTATGTGTACTTTCGCTTTTGCTGAGGTCTTCGCTGTCGGACTTTGTTTGCTGAGTACCACACGGGCGTGTGTGTTTCTGCAGACCAATGCCGCTTTCGCCGAGAACGACGTCACAGTGCTTCCCTTCGGGATGTCAAGTAGTTTGTCGGCCTGCGCTTGTCCTTTTGGCACACTGCGTCTCTGCGAACCTGACGTTGATGCTGAGGTACATGTCACTTCCCGGCTATGTTGAAAATTAGCCGGGCACATGCACACAACTGGAAAGCCGGACACGACGCAGCATACGCACAATGCCTCGAGCAGGGTCTATGGCTTGTCTAGCCCCGGTGTCTGTGAAAATATCAGCGACGTGTAGTTAGCGTCAAGGACAAAATATCCTATTCCTCGCTGTTGTCAAGTCTCCGGGTACGCCGCCTCGTGTACCCGCATTCAACGCCCACGCAATGGTCCGAGAGCATTCGTCTTCACGCAAGCTTTGTATGTCACCGCAGCCGTTCAGCATGGCGTTGCTGTATGTCAGTCGCTACGCCGCAGTTCGGTTACGCCCGGCGGCCTGGATGCTCGATTGTTATGCCGACATGCCCATGGCGGGTTCACAGGACTGTTCTCGTTTGGAGTAGCGCAAGACCGTTATGCCCAATGAGCATAGCTATGGCGCAGGCCCGCTCGGCGTACTGGGGTCCTGCGATAATCGCGGGCTACAGTCATGACGTCTCCAAGTCGATGGCCGACGCAGAGCAAAACTGTTGACACTGACACAGCACAAAGGTGCACGCGGCGGCGTTACTGTGTGCAGAGTTTCAGAGGAGCATCGCGAATGAGTTATTGTGAATACGATCGGTCTGAGCTTCTTCCAATCCCATGTAACCTATTACGACGTTGTTTGACCATATTTGGTGGTATATGTATGTGCTTATTGCCGAAGCTCGAAAGTATCTCCGGCGACAACGAATTGCGGCGGGCGTCCACGCTTCATATGTACTAGGCGGGAAGCACTGATCTTGCTGCCGTATTTGTGTGCACCATAATTGACACGCTGGTATGGAACCACTTGTATAGGCAAATCCGCATGACTTAGGGTGATACTTCGTTCACTGCCACCCAATGCCTTTGCCGAAATGGGTACAATTGCAAGAACAGTGCCAGTGAGTCATAATGAATGCCGTATAGTATGCTGATGGGAACCGAGTTGTGTAGAGAAGTATGTAGGAGTACATGCGCGCAAGATGCTCACTTAAGTAGTATGCAGCCATAGCCATGTATAGTGAGTCCATAGTCCGATCCGCTTCTCGTGCCGTATTCGCGTCGGTGGGGGCTACCGCAACTCCTTGGGCGGAACCCACTCTGGTATCTTCGCCCAATCAAATTTCTCACTCTCGTTCTTGAATTGCTCCAATGCCTCCTTCGGCACCAAGTCAATATAATTTGGCGGTAGGAGGTCGTCATATTTGCTCGCGCCCGGCTTGTACAGCTTGAGCTTCCGTGCCTTCGCGAAGTCCGGCTTGATCGGTGGGGGCTTCGCGGCTGGGGTGGTAGGATTGGGGGCGGAGGAGTTGAAGATGAGCCCAAGGGTGGAAGGCTGGTCTTGGGTAATGACGTTGGACCCAAATGCCCCTGTGCTAGGTCGCGAGAAGGCCGAGTTCGAGCTGAAGGCTGATTGGACGGGAGCAGCGGTCGAGGTTGGGAAAGCGGAAGGTGTTGAGGTCTGGGGCGCGCCAAACGCAGAGGTGCCGAATGCTGATGTAGGCGCGGTAGTCGACGCCGCGTTCCCGCCCCCGAACGCAGATGTTGTGTTGGAGGCATTCCCACTGCCTAGTGATGGTTGACCGAAGACGGATCCACCAGGGGCCTTAGTCGCAGCAGCTAGACCGAATGCAGACGGTTGTCCACCGGCAAAAGCGGAGAAAGCTCCGCCACCACCTCCGCCAGTGCTGCCAGCGGCAGGCGTAGTGCCTGGAGCAGGAGCAGAAGGGTTCGCGAATGCAGAGAACCCCCCACCGATAGGGCCTGTTGTCGAGCCGAATGCAGACGTGGTCGGCTTCCCGAATGAGCTCTGGCCAAATGAAGACTGGCCGAAAGCTGACGTCGTTTGCGGGGCTCCGAAGGCTGACTTCGGTGGCGCAAACGCAGAAGGATTCGTCCCTTGTGCTGGTTGGCCGAAAGCTGACGTGGTGGTGCCCGACGCGGGTTGACCGAACGCGGACGTGGCGGTGCCTGACGCTGGCTGGCCGAACGCTGATATCGAGCCCGTCGTAGCGGGTTGGCCGAATGCTGACTGGCCGAAAGACGACTGGCCGAAGGCTGACGTCGTGGTTCCACCTGCTAGTTGTCCGAACGCCGAGGTCGTCGCGCCCTGTGCCGGTTGGCCGAAGGCAGACGTTGTTGTCCCAGGCGCGGGCTGACCAAACGCAGAAGTTGTCGTCCCCTGTGAGGGTTGACCAAAGGCGGACGGTGTGCCTGCAGGCTTCCCGAACACCGAAGTCGTGCCCCCGGCGGCCTGGCCAAATGTCGACGCGCCCTGCACCGGCTGGCCGAACGCAGACGTTGCAGGCGCAGAAGCCCCAAAGGCAGAGGTAGTGGCGCCCGGCGCAGGCTGGCCAAACGCAGATGGTGCAGTCCCCGACGCCGGCTGGCCAAACGCAGTCGTGCCTGCGACGGGCTGACCAAACGCAGTCGTCGGAGCGCCAAAGGCAGACGATGTTCCCCCAAACGCGGACTTACTGAACGCTGAACCTCCTGCGGCTCCGCCACCAAACGCCGACGACTGGCCGAACGACGACTGGCCAAACGCCGAGGTCGTGTTGTTGGATGTCGCGTTTGAGCCAAACGCTGAGCCTCCTCCGCTACCGCTGAAGGCGCCGAACCCTGAGGGTTTCCCGAACGCGGAGGAGGATGCGGGCGCGCCGAACGCGGAGGTGCTCCCGAATGCCGACGAAGAGCCGGGCGTGTATCCAGTGGGGATCCCACCAGAATGGTGCGCGTCATGGTTTTTGACAGCGTGTTGGTGCAGGCCTTGTATGTTTGCGCGAGCGTTCGCATATTGGGAATTGGCAGCGGCGAACCTCTCCTCTTCGAACTTCATCTGTTGTGGCGGGGTGGTTGGCAAAAGTTTGCGCGTAGTAAGGTTAGGAGGTGGGACGTACATAGTCTTGTGTCGTTCCAACGCGCGCAGCCTCTACGGCTTTGAATCGCAGCTCCTCCGGCGACATGTCGAGGCCTGTCATGAGGGTGGGTTGGTACTTGGCGGGCCCGTACGTCGATAACGGCCATATGGGACGTTCGCTCTCTAGGTCTCGCGTAATGGATTCAAGGCTGAAGTTCATAGCAGGAGGTTGTTTGGACATCGATGGATGTGGTCAGACGAGGATTGAGATAGGAAGAGAGGAGGGGTGCGAACGTAAATAGTGAGGATGTGGCGGGGGTTCCTGAGCTGCTTCCAGGACCAGATGCCGTCCAAGAGTGGTCTGTTATGTCATTTTCGTAACCATTAGACTAAAGAGGCTCGTGATACAAGACTTGGTAGCCGAATGTGGTAGGAGGGGCATTCAGAGACAATTGGATACGCACTGCCGAAGCCGCCTTGTCTTTGGCCATCACGCGGATGCTCGTTCCTGCAGCTGTTTCCGAACTTGCACTGGCCGCGCAGGTAGTATTGGCATACAACCTGACAAAAGTCAGCAAGGCCCAATATGATGAAGTTCAGGATAACGGTATACCATTGCTGGATTAGCGAGAGAGGAGGGGAGTTGCACTCAAGCCGTGGGCGAGCGCAGTATAGCTTCGATCATGTGAGTGCCCGGGGTCCCACTTCCCTCATTTGGTAAGAGACCTCGAACACTACTACGCGGGGAATGCGAGCCTGAGTTGTGGCAAAACACCTTCCTCCACCATCCGCATATCCAGCTTGTGCTTCGTCTCTGCGGTCTCTCTTCGCCGGTCTCCTCCTGTGTTAGGGCTGGTCTGATCTGCTACAAGTGCTTTCCTGCCATAACCACGTCGCCCGGCCGAGCAGTGTGCTCACTTGACTGCTTGCGGTTCTCAACTGACCACCATGAAGGCGGAAGACAGCCAACAGTCCCCACCTACCACGACTACATTCTCCGCCGCAACATGGCCGACGGCAAGTCGTGAGTCGGGCTTTCTCTCCTCTGTTATGAAGTGTAGCTCATGTGTCCCATTCAGAAATACCTATAGACCCGGCACTGCAGCAACAGTCCCAGCATCCGCAACATACTGCGTAAATAGTTCGACGCATACGTGGTCGTCGCTCTCTTTTGATTGCTCTGTATAGGACTACACCGTACTCGCACTATCAATACGGCCACTACCAGACAAACTACAGCCACTACCCGCAATACACCCAGCAGACGCATCAAACTCAGACCGCACCAGCAACCCAGGCCCAGGCGCATGTGCAGACGCCTCAGGTGGCCCAGACGAACGTCTCCACGGTCGTCCGACCTCTTGCACAAGCAGTGCCGCAGACACAGACGCAATCACAATCTGGAGTGGATACTACGGATGTTGCGACGCTGAATGACGCGTTAGGGAGTGCGGGGGTTGACCTCAGGGTACGTCTTTTCAGCCTTCTCTCCAAGTCTCCCATCGCAATCATATTTCGCTCGCTATAGGCGGAAGAGGAGACCCTACAGCGCACAAATGACCAATACTACTCCTACCGTCCCTACGAAGACCGCTCGCGCAAACAACCCGATAAGCCCCACTTTGACACTATGTATCTCGGAAGCAAGATGCGTGCCACGGGCACAACACATAAAGTTTCCACTGTCTCGAAGGAGTCGATCGACTATGTCGCCCTCGCCCTCCGTTTCCGCCTACAAGGACTCATCACCGCGATGATCGCCGCCGCGAGACACCGAACGGACACGCAGTTTGACCGTCCCCCGAGCACGTACGAGGACGGGACACCCATGTGGAGCATTAAGGTCCGTTCGGACGTCGGCAAGCAGCTTGAAGCTCTGCAGAAAGCATACCGCGAGGAAGACATGAAGGAGCGGCGAGAACGCAAAGAGCGGCAAGATGCGCAAGCCGCCCAGGCCGCGGCTCTCACCACCACAGCGAGCGGGGCAGGAACGGATGCGGCGGCAGCCGACGGAGAGGACGGTGGGGGCCCAAAGAAGAAAAAGAAGAAGGATGGCCCGGGCGTAACAGCGCGGAACATGTCTGAGGACGTGCGCAAGAAGATGTCGAACGCGGTCGCGAGCCAGGCCGCAGGGCTAGGCACGGGAAAGTACGCGTGGATGTCAGCCGCGAGCGCGGCGACGGCAGCCCCGCCGAAGCCAAAGCCTGCCGTGGCAGCGAGGGCGAGCACCCCTGCAACAACGACGACTCCAGCGGCGAGTTCGACGAGCGCGGGCGGGTGGGCAAGGCCCTACCAGCCAAAGAGTGCGTCACAGCAGGCGCAGAAGGACGACGATGGGCGGTTGGCGGTTACATTGAGGGACGCGGTGTTTGTCGTGAACAATGAGAAAGGACACGGGGGAGGGCGCGGGGCGGCCAGGGGTTGGACATAGTTTGGCGTGTTCGCGCCTCTGAGTTGCCATACGCCCTTCGGATTCAGTTCGCATTTGCTCGTTTATGATTGCTGTGTGCTTTGAGCTCGATGTATCGTTAGCTTTCGCTTGTTGCTAATCTCATTCTGGATGTTGTCTCGGATGAGGAATTGGTGTGCGTTCGGTGGCTATGGCTTATAGCTATGGCCTATCAGCGCAAGCGAAGCCTATCTCACAAGCTTGTCCACTACCATTGCGAACGCTAGTTCCTTCGGCTCGTACATATATGCGTTCACTTAGTTCCCTGTCTCGCGCTGCATCTACGCTCTCTAGGCCACCGCGTCCCCTAGTTGGTCATGCTCGACAACGCCGCACACAACCTCTCGCACTCTCGCACTTCAAGCGGCAGATAACTTCCGAGTCAGAGCAGCCTCAGTCTGCAGAACCTTCTGAACACGACCTTCGGTATGGGTTCTACGGAGTAATTCTTCCTGAAGAGCCATTTGTCTGGGGAACGTCGCATATGATACCTCGCGGAGTCCCTCCTCAGATAACCAGGCCTTCATACGTGCCCGACCCGAGCAATCCTGACGCGGTTCTGGAGGGAGGCCCTTCAAGGGCGAAGCGCAAGCTCATCACTGATGCGGAGGATCTGCAGAAGCTGAGACGGGCTGCGAAGCTGGCCGCGGAGACGTTGCAATTTGCGGAATTGCTGGCCCAGGTGAGTATGCTACTTAGTCCCTGGAGACACGCCCCGTATTGCGTCGTACGCCTGCGAGATACGAGGGTTGACTCAATCATGTAGCCAGGGAACCCAACAGACTTCATTGATATGGGCGTGCACGAGTTCATTCTCGAGCATGAAGCCTACCCATCCCCCCTGCTGTACAAAGGATTCCCAAAGTCATGTTGTACGAGCGTGAATAACATCTTGGTGCATGGGATACCAGACGAGTTGAGCCCTTCCGGAACGAGACTACTTCGGACATGACACTGAACGAATACGCCTGTCTGCGTGACGCAGTCGGCCGTTGCAGGACGGCGACATCGTGAACGTGGACGTTACGGTATATCTGGACGGGTTCCATGGGGATACGTCCCGCACATTCCTCATTGGTGATGTAGTACGTGCCCTCCCACGAATGCATGTAGGCACGCGCTGACCTGACCGACCACACGCAGGACGAGAAGGGCAGGGAGCTCGTGAGCATAACAGAAGCTGCCCTTGAGGTTGGTATCGCGGCATGCGGACCCGGAAGACCATTCAAGGACATCGGCAAAGCCATTCACCAGCTGCTGCGAGGAAAGGACTACTCTGTCTCCTCCGCATTCACTGGACATGGTATCGGGCAAGAATTCCATCGTCAGCCTTGGATTCATCACGTTTGTTAGTGTTGCGAGTTTAGAAATTGGATGGTCTGGGAACCAGGTTGGCTGAAGGAGTTGATCCCTTTGCAGTGAACGACGAGCCAGAAATCATGCAACCGGGAGACTGCTTTACCATCGAGGTGAGTCCTGCCTCCCTTAACTTCATCAGTCGCATTATCTTACACTGTGTGGTTCAGCCGGCCATCGTGCAAGGTGACGATCCTTCCGGAGTCACCTATCCTGACGGCTGGACAGTGTCAACAGAGGTATAGAACATCTGGTATTCTCATGAAATAGCCGGCTAACGTCATCGGTGAAGAATTGTGCTCGGGCAGCCCAAGCCGAACATATGGTTCTGATCACAGAAACAGGTGCAGAAGTCTTGACGAGACTATGATTAACCGCTACCCTCAATTCTGCGTCCGAGCGATGCCCAATTATCAAGTCGTTGCGAGAGCCTATTCACTACATGCTACAAAACAGAAAAGAAATATACGTGAGACAACACAAACAAGGAGAAGTACGTCAATTCTATGCTGGGACGGATATCCGCTCCTGCACGAAATATAACAATGCCTGCGTCAAGTCCACGTCCTTCATGCCAAGCACTGTTGTGCTCTTTGCAATCACAGGCTTCACCTTGTTCAGCAAGGCTTGCAGGTCCGCCGCCATCTCTCCCTTCATTCCTCTCCTCAGCCGCTCTGCCATCGTCATCGACGCCTTGCGCGCCCTCCGTTCCTTGAGCGACGTCGAGTCTCCTAGTTGTCCTTCAACTACCATATCATCCCCGTCGGCGTCGTTCGACGGTGCGTCGAACTCCGGTTTTGACAGCCACATCGCCAGCTGTGTGACGGCATAGAGAAGCGCCGCCTCGAGGTTCCTTCGGACGACCGCTACGGTGTCCCGGACATCGAGGGCCTTGTCGTTCGACGTCGCCGGTGTCAACGCCTGTGTCGGCGGACGGTCGACCAGGAGCCGAAGAATGTCCAGGGAGGCGTTGCCAAGTTCCAGCAGCGTTCCAAGCGATGCGGGTTCGCCAAGGACGACCTTTGAATGCTATATCGACGGAATTGCCGTAAGTAAAAGGTCTCGAGGCGTTACGAGAACGCAGACTCACCGGGACGATCAACGCCTGTGACACCTGCCAGTCTTCAGGCTCTCCGAGCAGGACGGTCTCGGCTCCGCTGATATCAATCAACGCAGACAAGACCGTGCTTGACAGACGGTAGAGGCGGTGGATGAGCCGTGCGAGGAACGGGCGCCTCATGGGGTCGACAGCCTCCGACGGGGTCTTTACGGAGGAGGATGCCCGGTCTTGCTCGAAACGTGTACGCTCCTCCGAGGTGATAGGCTCAAAGACACTGGCGAGGTGATTGGGGTGGGTGAGCGCATAGTTGAGTTGTTGCATGAGCAACAAGGCATCGGCGGTGAAGGATTGGAGGACCCGCTTGACAGCATCATTCGAGCTCGCCGCCGAGCCGCGAGCGATTGCTGCGTAGACGTTGACGACCTGTTCGATCTCCTCCAAGAGTGGCAGGGTGAGCGGGTCATCGATAGTCCACGAAAGTGCCCGGTGGATCTGCTCGTTGTAGAACTGTAAGAGACCGCACACTTCCGATTCGAAATATTGCCCATGCTTGCCCAATGCCGTCGTGACACCCGCGACGATGGCGAGCATGGAGCAGTACGTATGATGCGCGGGGCTCTGCTCCCCTGGGAGCTCAGGGATTGTGACATCGACCTTGCCCTCGCGGATGGCGCGGCTAATTATATTCTCCAAGTACGCGACCAGGAGGCCCTCGCTGGCGAGTCGCTCCGCCGCGGGCGTGATACTCGCCATGGCCATGTGGAAGGTTAAGACGTGAGGAGTGTAGAGCGGCTGCTTCCGAGCGCGAAGGAGGGCGACATCCGACAGGCCGACCACGTCCATGCGGCTGAAGAGCTGGAGGCTCGCTTGAACGACGTCCGTCTCCTGGCACCTCGTTAGCCACAGACTGGGCGAGGGGTTGAGGTCCGGCCGCGTGCTCTGCTCGAAGACAGCTACGAGTAACTCCATGTCCAGGTCGATGTCTAGGTCAAGAGTCAGTCGTGCTCTGTCGAATGTAATTCGCACAGCGTCGATGACGAATACAAGGGTGGCATCCAAAAGCGCAGCGATGGCAAGACGTTGCTCGGCGTTCAGCACTTTGGATCTCCGTGATATACTTCTTGCATGACGAGCACAGAAATAGAGTATCTGGAGGAGAGGCCGATGGAAGGGAACAGGTACTTGACCGAGAACGGACTTTGCAGGCGATTGAGCAGGATTGAGGATGATACCGCGAACGTTCTTGGCGAGAGCGATGAACGTTTCGACCTCCTGCTTCTTGTCCGACGTAGAGAACCAAGCGACCTCTAGCAGAGACAGCACCAAAGACAGTCGTGCAGTATGGATAGTAGACATCATCTCCCCAGAACGTTGCTCAGCAGCAAGGTCCCTTGACAGCGAGTCAGCAAGGCATAGGAGGTGAGGGCGCACGGTGGCGTCTCCACGAAGGTACGGGATCACTTGAAGCAGGAGAAAGTGCCATGCTTCTGCTAGTGCTGTCTGGACATGCGCGAGAGACAAGTTCAGGTTGATGGTGTGCAAATTGCGGATGGCTTCCTCCATTTGGACCTCATCATCGGCCGCATAGATCTGGAGGCGGAAACGAGCTAGAGAGGTTGAGAATGCGAAGTCGTCTCCGTACTCTCGTTCGACTATGGGCTCCTGTGCTTGGAGATGGTCAAGAGAGAGGGTAGGATAGTGGTTTTTTAACAAGTCTGCGGACTCGTCATGGAGCTCAGGTCGGTAGGAGCTTGCAGCTGCTTCAGGGATGAGTTCATTGATTTGATCCTCTGACCTTAGAGTGGATGAGATGGCGTTGTAGCTTGGCGGCTTGTCCTTTGATCCCTGAGACTGTACGTGCATTTGAATGTCGGCGGCGAGTATGTGAGCAGCGTGGGATTTCGCAGCACTGCGGTATGAGTAGCCGGAGATGGCTTCGTGATGGTCTGAATGAGCGACTCCATCCGTGACGACGTAGCTCTCCGTCGCGCAATCAGGAGCTGGCCCAAGCTCTTCGGCAATGATTCCTCCAAGATGGTCGAAGAATTTGGAATCTTTGCGTATCGGGTCCAATACCGCCTTGTGTTCGTGCGCGTGCTGCCATACGACGTCCAGAAAACGCAACAAAGATGCGAGCAGCTTCGGATTAGGCTCCCACAACTCTTTCCATTCCTCCAGCATGTCGCAAGCGACGTTCAGCGCGCTAACCTTCAATGGACCACCCGAGTCTTCGGCCTTCTCCTTCCCCTTCGCATTTGGCATGCGGAGCTGGCCAGTCACAAACAGGCGGGCAAGGGCGGGCTCCTTGTCTACGGCCAGAGTAATGAAGTTCCAAACCGCACCGCGAAGGAGCGCGTCGTCGTACGGGTGCTGGATGATACGAACCATGATGGAGACAGTAGCTTCGGGGTCAGACAGGTGGCCAATAATCGTTGATGTCGACGTCTCGGCGGCGGAGAGGGACGAGCAGAGGGCAAAGAGAACCTGCGTCGCGGTAACTGGAACAATGGGTCCCATTCCTCGTTCCTTGACGTACGCAGCTAACGCATCGATTGGACTGGATTTCAACGAACTGCCTTCGAAAGAGGAATTATGGCCTGCCCGACTGCAAAGCGCCTGCTCTAGGAGGCAGACCTTCGTGGAAGCGGATGATTTCTGCTTGTACGTAAGCAGGATACGAGTAAGGGATAGGTGCGACTCGAGGAGATACACGAGGCGTCGAGCATCACCGTGCCTACGGGAGTTGTACAATGCGTTGAAGATCGAACCCCCGGCGACCAGGGAGGCCACGAGCGGGGTGATCGTCGACGTTGTTGCCTTGAACAGTAGGGCATCTGCGACGGCGTTGCTCAGCTTGGCGAACGGCATGTCCTTCAGCGCGGGCAAAGCGTGATTAAATATCTGCATGTACAACGTCGTCACCCGTCGCCCGATCTCGAAGCGGTCGCCCAACTGCGCGTACTTCCAGCCCATGTGCTCGACCCAGATCTCCGAGTGCACGAATCGGGTCGCACGCATGAGCACCTCCTCCTTTATCTGCTGCAGCTTCGGGTTTTGGCGCGTGACGAGAAGCACCGTAGAAGATGCCTCGGTGAATAACGCGTCCACGAAGCGCAAAAGGGCGAGGGTCATGGTGTAGTGACCTGTCAAGCGCTCGGAGGCAAGTACAGACGATGCGACTCCTGAGGCGCGGTCGGTTCCGAAGAGAGAGGCAGTGGACCGGATGTATAGCCAGACGCGGTTAGAGTGACTGGGCACGGCAAGGAGAGCAGTGAGCACACTCATAGCTGAGGTGATGAGCTGTGTGCGCGGCGCGACATGATGTTGGCCAACGGAACGGGAGAGACTCTCCTCGAGAATCATTGTAGTGAGCTGGACGAGGTCAGGGGCTTGTGCCTCTGCCATGGTATGCGACACGACAGAATCGCCACTCTCCATGGACAGCAGAAGTTCTTGCGCTAGGTCCGGGCTGTCCTGAACGACGCTGCGGATGAGGTCGAGGCAATCGATGACGATATCCTCGTCCCCGTTATGGTCCATCTCGACACCGATGTCCTCGAGCTTGAGTGCGAGAGGCTGGTTGGGGTTGCGTGCGCCAAAGGATACGTCTTGATACGACCCGCCCGAGCTAGAGTGTGTCCTGCGACGGTTGACGTAGTCCGTCAGGAACTCGAGGACGAGTTTCCACCCGGAATGACGGTGCTGCCATGCCACTACAATGAGGTCGCCACCATCGTTGCTCAGGAGCTTGCCGACCGACTTCGCGGGTAGATTCGAGCCACCAGGAAGCCGGATAGGGCGGAGGTTCATGTATGACGGCCCTGGGGTGGCCGACGACGACCCATACCGCTCGGGGAGCTTCTCATAAAGTGCATGCGCACCCGTACACTGGCTGATATGGACAACCTGGGTGAATGTAGGTAGTTCGTTGAAGTACCTGAAGACGGCGCGCGTGCACAGGTTGCGATCGGCGGTCAAGAGCTCGTCTGCCTCGATATGGTCCACGGTGGACAACGGGTCTGTGTCGAGGAAGCCGGTCCCTGTGAGCGAACGAAGGAGCCGGAGGAGTGGTCGGACCTGGATAGGACACCGCGAGCGAGCGACATCCACGATGGCACGACGGAAGGTGTCGGCATGCCAGTCCACTTGCCAGAACTGACAGCAGATTCCAACAACGGACTGAGGCTCGCTACGACCGAAGAGAGCAATCCAAACTTCGAGGAACCCGTCGAAGTCGGCGATCATCTCGACTGGGACCAACTCAACGACGGAGATAAGCAATCCTGATGCACATCGTTATACGAAACTCAAACATACACTTAATGAGCACGAACCTTTCATCACAGATCTGTATGCCACTGTATTTGGATCCGTCACACTAGAGCCTGTCCTCCATGCGGCAGAGGTAACAAAGACTGGCGACGAGGTGAGGAGGGTATGCAACAAGCGGAACAAGCCCGCATCGCTACTCAGCCCGATGTCCTTCATGCGGTCCACCGCCTGCCCCGCATCCCGCGACTGCGTGCTGGATATCACGGTTTGGAAGAAGCTCCCGTACGAAGTGGGCAGCTCCCTCGACTCATGTGCGACCTTCGCGAAACGACCGAGCTGAACCGTCCACGCCATGTAGACGCATACGAAGTTGCTGTTCCCCTGCGAAATGACCGTTTGGTGTATCCGCTTGAGGTGCTCGGGGGAGCTCCAGTAGATGTCTTTGTCCGTAGGGTTCGCAGACATCTCAATGGCACCGGTCTCTGAGGCGCGTTCCAGCTCGAGCACCTCCACGGTGATGAGGATCCACATCACCGCACAATCTTGTAGAACTTGAACGCTCTCCTCATCAAGCAGGAGCGTCGAGTTCTGCTGCTGGGACCCCAGATGCGTTTGGTACGCGGTCTCATATATCTTCGCGACCAAAGGCCCGCTGCATGCTGCATGCCCCCACATCGTCCAGAACAGCACCTCCAGCATCACCAATTGCTCCTTCGCGTTTTGCTTAGCCCATGCCGAAGCCTGCCTCGGGTCCTCCTGCGCGCCTTCAGGTACCTCCGCGTATGTCTTCCTTGAGTACTCTTCGAGGAGCGACTGCGCGAACTGGGTAGCGTCGGATACGATCTTGGGAATGTAAGTCTCTGCAATCTCAAAAATCGGAGTCCCTTGTGACTGAAGGGCACGGAATAGGGGAATGAGAGTGCGAAGAACGTGTAGCCGCTCCGAATAGTAGAACGGCGTAATAGCGTTCACGAGCTCTTCGACCATAGACGACGAATCCGAGCCTCCGATGTCCGCAGGCAAACCTTCATTGTAGAAGAAAGACCGGAGGAGGATGAGTGCCTGGACCTGGTCGATGTCGAACTTCTTGCTAAGTGCGTGGATGAAGTCCTTGTCCGCATCCTCGACGCGGAGAACGACTCCGTCCGGGAGCGTGACCGAGCCCGAGTCGACCTTCTTCTTCGACGCGTCAGACGGCTTCCCAAACAGCTCGGCAACGTTCTTGAGCTGCTCAACGCGCGGCTTCAGGATATCCCCGAGCTGGTCGAGCGTCGTACCCTCAAGGTGGCCCGAGAGGTGGTGGTGTAAGGACTGGTATGTTCTGCATGTCCCGACGCGTCATCCAGCGCGCACAGTTGCTGTAAGTGTAAAGAAACGACGTACACATCTATCAGGTTGGAGCGTTTTGAGGAGTCGGCGGACATGATGGTCGTCGCGCGAAACAACGACCTGCGCGCCTTGTTTGGTGGCGGGGACGCGCACTCCAGCGTCGCGCGCTGCGGTAGCGCCCGTAATCACTTTGCCACCGACTTTCATCCTGCTGTCTCCCCGTCGGCTTCTACCATGTCGCAGGCGATAGGGAACGTAAGTAACGGTTGATGGGATGGATTATGAGACACTGAACATGTTCTTGTTGTAGACTGCGTTGGCCTATGCACGCGTATGGCATCATGTCGATGCCTCCGACCGAGTCCTCGGCAAGCTCGCAGAGCGGATCGCTATCGTCCTTATGGGCAAGCACAAGCCAATTTACGACCCCGGAGGTGACTATTCAGCATCCTTTTGTACATTTCAGCGTAGATAAACACGTCACATAGCGGACTGTGGGGACTACGTCGTCGTGACAAACGCGCGAAACATCAAGGTCACCGGGAAGAAAGCCCAACAGCTCGTCTACCGGCATCACACGATGTACCCCGGCGGGCTGAAGGAGATCCAGTACAAGGATATGATGCGGAGAAAGCCTGACGAGGTGCGTAATCCATCTATATGTACGCATGCACCTATCGACGCCTGTCCCGCTTAGATCATCCGCCAGGCTGTCTCCGGTATGCTTCCTAAAAACAAGCTGCGCGAGCGGAGACTGGAGCGGCTACGCATCTTCCCAGACGGTGACATGGGTGTCTTCGAGCAGAACATCCTGAAGCGGTGGGAGGACGGGACGCTTCCGGCACGGGCAACGTCTCAGGCGCAGACGGCGACCCAGTAGAGGCGTTCTGTTGTCGAATGCTACATATACATGATTCTTCTAATACCTCAACATATTATCCACAACAACGTCACCCACGCAAGGACTTCGTAGTGAAGAACGCTCTCGGTCAAATGAGTCTCACTCCCCGGAGCTCTCATTTGATTGGGAAGCAACTCTTCTCATCGTTTTCGTCTTGCTCCTCCTCTGCCTCGCTCTCGTCTTCCTCCAATAATGTCTCTGCTTCCCCGTCCTCGTCCTCAGACTGCAGATCTGGCAGTCCTGGAGCTTCAATCTCGGCTGGGCGACGCCTCTTGCGCATATCCTGTGCCTTCCAAGCCCTCTTCTTTTCCAACTTGCGCTCTCGCGCCACCAATGCCATTTCCCTCTCCCAGCCCTCAAGAATGTTCGATTCGAGTGACTCGGCAACGTGCTCTTGCAGTAACATTCCTTGCAAAGCGTTCGGTAAGCTATACGGGGTGAAGCAGGAATGAGGCTCACCCAATGCCATTAGGGCCGACCCGTCGAATAACTTGTACATATCCTTTTCCATAGGACGGCGCGTCTTTGGACGCTTGTTCTTTGGGTTGCCTCTTTCCACGCCTTCCTTTCCTTCTCCGTCTGTTCTATCGTCTCCTCCGTCTTCCTCAGCCGGCTCCTCAATATCCTGCTCATCCTCGGTGAACTCAATGTCCTCTGCGGCCGAACTGTCTTCTGAATATTCGGCGCTCTTTGGCTCAGAGCGAGGACGGCTAGAGCTAGCAATTGCCGTAGCCTTGAGCCTTTGAGCGCGGCGCATCTTCCGCTCTTTCCTGGACTCCCGACCGGCATCGTAGAGTTGTCCCATTGCGGTATAGTATGCGCTCGCGAAGTAGTGCAAGCACTTCAGGAGATCCTGGGTAGACAAGAATGAGATAGAGTGCGCAAAGTTTTAGGAAACAATTCTACCGAAGATGGAACAGGAATGGTCTTGAAGGCTCTCCCTTCCGGGTGTGGATGCAAAGGCTCACCGGTCTGGGAGGGGAGCAGTGCGGGCTCGGCTCCCGGGTTCAGGAAACTGAAGTCCTCATCAAATCGTCTGCGTTTCCCAGCTCTCGTGTTCACCGCAATGTCCCCCTCGTCGTCTATCGCGCGTCCCTTGCCTTTGTCCTTCCTCTGGGAAGGACGGAGCTCGTCTTGCAGGAGCTCATCCGCCTCCACCTCGGACGCGTCCTCGTCCTGCCCATCGTCCTCCTTGGACGCGCCAGGGCGCGATGTGACTGTTCCGAGACCTCCCGCATCCTTGGCAATCCAGTTCCCGCGTGCGTCGCGGACAGTGTACTTTGCGCGACGTGAGCGGCGGTTGGTGTCCGAATTGGCGACGCGAGTGCCGTCTCGGTGTATGCGTAGGGCGGCGACGTCGTGGACGGTGGTACGCCGCCGTGCATTCGTATCCATCTGCCAGTAAACAAGGAGACTGTTGTTCAATGGAGCAAGCAAGCAGGGACAGGTGGCGGACGATCTCGCGGACGACCACCGGGAGGAGGCGGGCGCTCCCCTTTGGTTCGGATCATCCATTGCACGTCGAACCAAACTGGGAGAGAGGCGAACTGAGCGGCCAATGTCGGCGAAAACGAAATCGTGCGAGGGGGGCCTGGCGGGTGCCCTGAGCCGACGTCACCTTCGTTCCCCACTCTCACCGTCTCCCTCGCTAGCTTATTATACCACTCCCAGCTAGTTCCCCAGTTCCTACCCTCATTTTGATCCTATTGTTTCTCTCTGTTGCGCTACTGTACCTTGCATAAGCACCAACTCGAACCTCAGGCGAAGACGGCCGTGCAGTCTCAGTGCACTGCAAAAATGCCGGAATACGTCTATGCCCTCCATGATTTTGCACCTGAAAACCCAGACGAAGTTCCGTTCAAGGTCGGAGATAGGATAGAGGTTATTGAGAAGGATGACATGTACGGAGATGGTTGGTGGCAGGTGAGTTTGATTGATCTCAGCTACGGCCGCACGATACACCCGATATTTCTTGTCGTTATATGGTGTGATTACGTGGACGAACTAGTTCCACTCCTCGTTCGCTGCGTGAAAGGCTGTTTGGGCAGCTCATCATGTTAGACGTTTGCGGACGGCTGGTGACGACAAGTTGTGTATGCTCATGGGTGTCTTACACGTACTGCGCATCCGATGCGCTATTCTTCTTCTTACCCCCCCCCAGCCTTGCCCAATCGAGGTCATGGTATGCGGAGGTGTACGACTATGGGAGGATGGAAAGTTTGACTGGTCCTCTAGTCTCGCAGACAACTGCACCTCCCCTCTCCTGCTATGTCTTTGCTATCCAGAATCTAATCTGTTTTATAGGGCCGGAATCCCGCCGGACAGTCCGGTCTATTTCCGCAAAGTTATACCTCCTCCACACCGCCAGCATCCTCGACGGTAGCCTTCCCGGATGCAAGTCATGCCGAATCATCGTCTCCAACCGACGGCACCACATCGAACACTGTTCTGCAAACCCTGCCCGAGGAGACAGAATCCACGACCAATGGCGCCCGACGCAGTCCCACTGAGAGTGACCGGGAGCGGAGGCCCAGGTCCGGCGACGTCATGATGCGCGAGACCCTGACAGACGTCCAGCAGGCGATTGAGCAGCTTGGGCGCAGCGACCGCGACGGAGCGCGGTCTTTCAGCTACGCGAGCTCCCACGGGGACTATAGCGAGCGCTCTGAGACCGAGACCGAGGACGACCGCGACACCGACGCAGAGCACGACGACGTGGGCTGGCACAAGGACGCACGGGCGAAGCTCGCGAAACGGGCGCAGCGGGAGAACGAGGAGCGGCAGGCTCGCGAGGCAGCAGAGGAGGCTGCGCGCGCGATGATACCCCCGATCGACGTGGAGGTGAGCGACGAGAGCGAGGGCGAGGAGGATGAAGATTCGCCTGCGAGCCCTCACAGACACCGGCACTACCCACGGATCGCGGAGGAGGACGAGGACGCGGATGGAGAAGAGAGCCCGGTGAAGCTCGAGCCTTCGACGCCGGGACCGGCGGCAGCGCAGCATTCTAATGAGAGCATCGTGCCCTCGGAGAGATATCTTGTCACCGACGAAAGCGATCTGCGGACTGCTACTGCAATGACCTTCCCCCCGACTCCTTTACCAGGTAGCGCCCTAGACTCGCTTGCGGCACACGGCAGTTCTCATAATATCGCTGAGCCTACGCCAACTGAGACCACGAAGGACCTACATGCCGATGAACCTACTCCCGTCCCCGCGTCACCTGCAGCTGAACCAGCCCCCGAGCCTACAATTTCAGTGATCGCTCCTGGTGCCGTGCCACCTAGCGCTCCTGCTAGCCCCGTTCCTCAGGATACCCTCCCTGCGACTATGGCGCCGATAGTCATCGCGCCAACTCCGAGTACGATCAAAGCCGCTGAGCAGCTGCCCTTCAACGGGACGTCATCGCTACCATCACCGACTGCTTCGTCCGCCGGCTCCTTTGCTCAGAGCAGTGCGGCTGGTATCCAGCAAGCACTCACTACTCCCGCCACCACCGTTGCAAGCTCACTCAGGTCCTCTACGCCTCAAGCGAGCGGTACGAATACACCGGATCTTGTTAGGAAGCCTACTACCCACCCTTCGGAGTGGACCGTTGATGAGGTTGTAGAATGGTTGAAGTCGAAGGGCTTCGACCAGGGCGTGTGCGATCAGTTCATCGGTGCGTATCGTTGGTGCCTAAGTCTACCTTCTTAGGTTTTGACTTGTGTTCTAGAGCAAGAGATTACCGGCGACGTCCTCCTTGAGCTCGACGCCAACGTCCTCAAGTCCGAAATTGGCATCGCCGCCTTCGGTAAGCGAGTCCGCATCATCAATGCCATCGCCGAGCTGCGTCGCCCGCCCTCGATCGACGAGGCCGAACCCCAGCCCGCAGGGTCGATGCCCACCCCTCGGTCGCTGACGCACTCGTTCAACTACCCCGGCTCGCACCACTCACACCCGTCGCACTCGCACTCGCACTCGATCCAGAGCTCCGCGCAACATAGCTTCAACAGCTCGCCGTTCGGGCCGCCGTCTCCTGGGGTGGTCAGTACGAACGGGAATGGACAAGTGGTTGGTGTGGCGCTGGCGTCGGTGATGAGTGCGGAAAGCCCGCCACATACAGGTGACTTGCCCGGGTCTCCCCCCACAATGCGGAGCGGGTGGAGGGCGTCCGACCCAGGTTCGATACACGGTAGTATGATCAACTTGGACGAGGAGACACGTGGGAGGTCTCCTGTCGGGCTTGGGTTCGGGCTGCCGAGCAAGGCTCCGAAGGGTCGCCCGGCACAGCTCCTGTTGTCGCCTAGCGATGGTGCGCTAGGCGAGACGGCTGCTGCTAGGCAGGACAAGGCGAGGGGAGGCTCCATCAAGGATGAGCGTGCTGTCATGAGCGAGGTGCGTAGGCATCGCTTGTTGCGTATCTCTCATCGCCAAGACCAGACACAGACAGAGAGCGTGGCAAAGGATTCGAAGAGCAGGCGTCGCTTGTTTGGTCGCTCTGTAGACTCCGGATCCTTCAACGAGAAGGATGCCGAGAGCACACGCTCTGCGGGCACTCCGGTCAGCTCGCCACCTCCATCAGCCTCGCCTATTGATGAGACCATCCCTATCCGACGGAGAAGCAAGGGTAGCAGGAGCGTCGATGACAAGAAGCCAGACCGACTCAGTTTGTTCGGAGCTTCGTTCACCGGTACCCTTGGGAAACACAGAAAGCCTGCTCCCAGGCTCTCCAAGTACGTTTGTCTCTTCACGGTTCAACCCTATCCCTATCACGTTCTAGCTGCTGAGGAATACACCGCGCTAGCATCGGAGAGAAGCCAGACGGCGAGAAACATTCCGTTACACCGTTCTCTAGACTGCGGGAGAAGCGTTCCTCAAGTCGTCCCGGCACCGCTGACGGTACGATGCAACGCCCGGAGAAGAAAGCTTCTAAGGACGAACACGAAAAGGGCCTGGATAAAGATAAGAAGGAGAGGGACCGCACGGTGTCGATGTCGCCGCCGTCCAAAGAGCGCGACCCGGCGCTCCTGCGCAAGCGGACTACATCGAGCGCTAGTTCGCCTCGAGGCAATGCAATCGCAGCCGTAGCGTCAGCTGCTGGAGGCCCGAATCTCAAGGCTGGTCAGAGCATCCTCGAGCAAATCGGCACGCCCGATCACAACGGCTGGATGCGTAAGAAGGGCGACCGGTACAACGCCTGGAAGCTGCGGTATTTTATTCTTAAAGGCCCGCACTTGTATTGGCTACGGAGCAACAACAAATCGGTGCGTGCCCACCCTACATTCCGGGCGGCGCTCTGTCGTATTGATTCTGGGCACGCGCCCGTGGGTGTAGGAGACCAAGATCAAGGGTTATCTCAACATCGTGGGCTACAAGGTCCTCGCGGATGAGAATGTGGACCCGGGACGATACGGCTTCCGGATCGTGCACGACACCGAGAAGTCACACTTCTTCAGCTCGGATGAGCAGCTTGTCGTCCGCGAATGGATGAAGGCGCTTATGAAGGCAACCATCACGCGGGATTACACGAGTAAGTGCCTATTCGTCCAATGGCGTTCATAATCACTCAATAGTTTCGCAGACCCTGTAATGTCCTCATGCAATATTCCCACCATCCCCCTTACCGTCGCCCAAGCGATGAATCCCGCTCCTAGGCCACCCTCCCCAAGCGCACGGGATGCCACGCAGAGGGCACTACGCAGAGAGAATCCCAATCAGCTGTCGAGCCGTGACGCTCAAGTGCTCCTCATGGGCATGCCAAACAAGAATCAGAACGAGCGCGCAAGGCTCGAGTCGTTCTTCACCAACGACACGGTCTCGACCAATGAGCCCGAGTCTCCCGTCACGCAGAAGGCCATGCCTCCTAAGAACACCGCGCCACCGCGCCCGTCACGAGAAGCGCGTCGCGCGAGCATTGCGACTTTGGGGCAAGGGCCCAGTGATTATGTAGGCCTTTTCAGTTTCACATTGCATCCGCGCATCTAAACTCTATGTCTCTTCTCTTTCCTTTTCTTTCTTCCGATCCCCGATACCCTTGTACCCGCGCGCTACGCCTGTCTTGGAACGCGAACACTGGAACTTTGGATTGCGCGAACGAGAACACAGGACATTCCAGTCGACGCTAGTCTGATCGAGTGGGCGAACTCCCACCTTCCAAGCAACCTGCAGATCAAGGACCCAGCCGGGCCGTTATGCGGCGGGCTCGCGCTTCTCCGCCTGGCTGAGGACATCAAGGGCAAACCCTCGTCGCCTCCGGTCCCGGATTCGGCCTTCCCTACCAGCCCGTATGACGACAAGCTCGATGGGCTCTTCCGACTGTTCGATTATCTCCTCGACAACGACGTTAAGATGGGCTCGGTGAGTATCAACGACATCCGGCAGGGAAAGCGCGAGAAGATCATCCAGCTCCTCCGGGCGCTCAAGGCTTGGGAGGATAGGCGAAAGGCGATCGCGCAGTCGATAGGGAAGGCCCCGGTCGTCGCAGGTCCGTTCATGGGCATGTCAGGGCCACTTGGTTTCAATCAGTTATCGATGGTATGATCATCGCTTGGTTTCCGCACATTAGGAGGAAGAGGGGTTGCGCGGTTGGATATCTTCTGTATATAGATTCGTCATCCGGTCGGACTATCTCTAGGCTCTCTAGCATACGTTCCTTACTAGCATTTGCATCTCTCTCGTCCATTCCATAATCGAAAGAATACTCATGTAGCATCCTCTCGCATATATGAAATTTTCGGTTTGGTTAGTCACGGAATCTCGCATTGTCAGCATCGGGAGATATCGATGAAGCAAGAAGTACAAGAGCGAAGGTGTTGGGCGGCAATTTCCGGCACCTCGTTCCCTCTCATCCCGCGGCGGCTTTCTCCTTCTCGGCTCGAGCACTTGAAAACACGATGTGCTTGGACGTCCAGGCCATCGAAAAAGCACTTCTCACAGGGAAGTGGGATAACGGGCTAGATAGCTCGTCAGATGCACCCGTTTTGAAAATCGCTAAAAACGTGGTGAACGGCGATTTTCGCGATCTCACAGCGTCACCCAGCCGAGATCTGTTTGCGGTAACACAATCTAACGAGGACCTCGTTGACCGCCCGCTCACCAAGTGGTTCGACTACACCCAAAGACTATCTTCAGGAACACCAGGCACGCCGGATGACGAGCTACTCCGGCTCTCCTGCGCGGTGGCGTGCCTGCACGCGTTCCTTCAAGCTAACTGGACGGGCCCCCACCTAGACATCAAGCCACTAGACGTTCTCGCTTTCAGCACCCCATTTTCTCAGCTCGTGAACGAGGATCTGCTCCACCAGAAAGCAGTATCGGAGCTAGCTTACGGCGGCGAACCTGCGTACCATCTTGCCAAATTCCCAATATTCCTTCAGCTTGCACGCATCCTCCTCGACACCCCATTCCAGCATTGCCGATCAGTCCCATGGTGGAGGCTGCGCACTTGGCGCGTACACGAGCAAGTTTTGGACGAGCCCGTGGCCGTGCCCGAGGACGTTTTCACCGCAGTCTCACCGCTCCTGGACGGTTTTGCCTCCGAGCCTGATGTCGCCGGCCGATTATTGTTGGAACAGGGCTTACTCGAACACTACGTAGGACATGACAAATCGGCGGCAGACTATTTCGTACGAGCGGCACGGGCGACCGAACTCGAGTACGAGCTAACTGGCGCGCTAGGCAAGCGCACGAAGTTCCAAGAAACGGACGTAACGCAGCTCGTCCTCCTGGCCGAGTCTCGTGTCCGTGGAGACGGCACCGACCCTACCCAAGACGCGGGCGGAGTCAATGGAGAGGGACCCCAGGCGGGCTCCACCAATGGGACCGTGGAAACCGCCAAACCAAGTAATGCAGCTGCGAAGGCATCGGAGCCCGCACTCCCTGAAACACTCCTACTTAACGACGACACGCTATTAGAGCAGACGGCCTTCACTTCGTCAACAAACGCTGGTACGCTCGGCTCCCGTCTCTCCCGCATCGACCCTGCGTCGCAACCAGCGCTGCATCCGCTTGATCAAGCCGTCCTCCTTGCCCTCTGCCTCAATGTCAAGAACACGTCTCCCGTACATGGCCTCACGGCTGAGCAGATGGCGCCGTATGTTGCACGGGTGATCTCACACCCTCGTAATTGGACGGTACACACGGTGGCACTCCTCCTACGTTCCCGGCTCGAGTCCAACCGCACCCGCACCGTCGAGCGGTCCGTCCTCCAGCTGCAGGCCCTCGTCGATCAGATGCCTACCGCAGACTCGGCATTACCCGAACGGCTGCTCTACATCCACGACCTCCTCCTCCCAAGCCGGTGGGAAATGGAGAAGGAACTCGCGAACCGCTTCCTGACCATCGGCGTCGTCAAATCAGCTCTTGAGATCTTCGAGCGGCTCGAGATGTGGGAGGAGGTCGTAAAATGCTGGGCGAGCATGGAGAGGGCGGACAAAGGCCGCGCCATCGTCCGGGACCTCCTCGATGGCCGCAAGACCGAGGCGGATACCGTCATCACACACGGCAAGGCCCTCTCCGAAGCTCGTCGTCGCAGCCTCGATTCCGCGCGTGAAGCGAAGCTCTGGTGTCTCCTGGGCGACCTTGAGCCTGAGCATGCGCTTGAACACTACACGCGTGCCTGGGAGATTTCCCGGGAGTCATCCGGACGGGCGATGCGCTCCCTAGGGGGCTATCATTTTGCCCGAGGGAACTACGAAGACGCGATTACCTGCCTCCGGCGAGCTGTGGCTATCAATCCCCTCCAGGCCCGCTCGTGGTTCGTGCTCGGCTGCGCCTGCCTCCGGGAGGAAGACTGGGACGGGGCTAGAGAGGCGTTCGTCCGCTGTGTCGGGATTGACGATGAAGACGGCGAGAGCTGGAACAACCTCGCGAGCGTGTATATGCGGATGGGGGAGGCGGGAAAGGCGGCGAAGCTGGAGGATGAGGATAGTGCCAAGCAGCAGGTGCGTGTATTGTCATCGATTTGGCTCGTCTGCCGCCCGCCGTCTGCCGTGAAGAATGCTTGGAACCCTGCGGTTCTTGGGACCCCCGCGGAGCGGCCGGATTCGCGGAGTCCCATTACCGCTTACTCACGTCCGTCACCCGGTCACTTCACAGGGCGAGAGCACAGCCCTTGGGGCTGCGGAGAATCGAATTCCGTTTGCGAACAAGCTCCTGGCGTTCCGTGCGCTCAAGCAAGGCCTCAAGTTTGCGTACGATAACTGGCGGATGTGGAACAATTACATGATCGTCGCCCTCGACGTCGGCGAGCTGTCCGAGGCATGCCGAGCCCTCAGCCGCGTGGTCGAAGAGCGCGCAGTCAAGGACGGCGCAGCATGCGTCGACGAGGATGTCCTCGATCGTCTCGTCGAAGCCGCCACGCGCGGGCCAGAAGACGCTGGAGCTAGTGGCGGCGAGGGAGCTACTGCAGAGGCCAAGAAGGCGACCCAGACCACCGGCCTCGAGCGACGGGTGGAAGAGCTCTTTACACGTACGATCCTCCCTCGAGTCTCTTCTCCCCGCATTTTCCGCGCGTGGGCTCGCCTGCTGACTGCGCAGGGACGGTACGCGGATGCGCTGAACGCCCACCTGGATGCATATCGGGCTGGGCCGGCTGGGACGATAGAGAAGGGCGAGACGGATGTGGAGAAGTGGCGTGGTGCCGTGGGCGAGGTTGAGGAGATCGTGGACGTCCTACGGAATTTCGGGCCGCGGTACGGCGAGGGCTTCAATTGGAAGCTGCAGGCGCGCAGCATCGTCCGCACGTTCATGGGGCGGACGAGGGACTTCGAGGACGAGCCGGAATGGGCGCGGCTGGTAGCGCTGCAGGAGGAGATTAGGAAGGAAGAGTAGGGAGATGAGCGCGGAGCCTGAGGTACGTGCGAACGACACGAGCGTCCAGTCCGATGAACTGAGCTCGGCAGCGGCCTTCCAGGAAGGGGGTTGGCGTGCCTTGGGGTGGCAAAGTTTGTGATATGGGCGCGGTGGGCGCCCGGAAGCTAGTCAAGTCAATGTAACGAAATGATTACTCGTGCCATAAGAGTCACGACTTGCCAGGTCCGCATGACGTTGAGGGAATCCGCTAGCAAGTGCACAAGTACACCCAGGAAGCCGGAGAAAGCTCGTCACCTCCCAGCATTCAATAAGGACCAATCAAGTACGTTATAATCGTGGCAATAAGTGGACGGATGCGTGGAATATCCAAGACGAAGGGAACTAGGAAGAGGCCACGGGTCGCTCCCAGTTCGACACCTGAGCGATACGGTTCAGGATCAACGTAGACACGATTTCCGTGACTATTGGTATAGCGGCCGGCTTGAGAGTCAGTTTCGCAGCAAAGGGGTCTGTGAGCTGGCTTGTCTCCCAGAGAGCTATTAGGTTCCCCTTCGCATCTACGCACTAAAGCGGCGTGGTAAGCTCTTTCCACGGGACCCCACCTGGTCGATAGGGAGGCGTACCTCTAACCGCTGTGTCGAGATTAGCCTCCATTTGTATTCTCGGCGGTCCTGCGCCCAGAAATATCGCGACCTGATTACGAATCCGACATGTCGCATGAGCGGAAGCGGACACGTCTAGCGGTGGGCGGAGACTCACGTGCTGTTTTCTTTCTTCCGGAGTCGTGCCTGTGCCATCGAGAAATAGGTACTGTTGCCGTATATAAAGTGGCCCGGTGTTCGGTTTGGGCCAAAGTAGAAATACGAGTTAGAGGGGCCCATGATGTCTGGGTGTTGCTCGGCCCATGGTGCCTCGCGGGCTATCTTCATGATGAGATTGGGGTTCTCATCAACCTGGACATGGGAGAGTTGGCAAACACGCTGGATTGCGCGTATTAAAAATACCTACCATCGTGCTAGACGACGGTCGTGAAAGATGAGCGGAAGAACTTGGTTCGGGAGCAGAGGGATGGTTTAGTAGGGGGACGCACACAGTGAAAGCGAGACGTCTGTCGGGATCCTCGAAGCGGGCATTCCAGGGGTCAGCGGAGTACTGGAGGAGAGTGTAGGAGGAGGAAGACATGTGTGAAAGATGATAAGACGGGGCGGGGTAGGTGGATGGACATGGCGATGAATGTATGGATGGGACGGGAGGAGAGCGTCTGCACTGGACGATCTCAGCTTCCACCACGCCGCCCACCGCCTTGGGGTCGCCCACGTGCCTCCCACGAGGTCCCCCACGCGGCGGTCCCAGAATCGATCGGAAGCACCGACGAGAACGACCGCTGCAGGCCTCCCATCCGACACCGCAATTCCAAACAATTCCTCCCTATTTCCCGTCCCGTCCCGGCCGTCCTCCCTCCGCCATCCCGGCTAACGAACCCTAATCGGCCGGGCTCTGGTCCCCGTCCTCCACGGACCCTCATCACACCCTGCGGCCTCCGTCGGACCACCGCGCCATCACACCTTTCGGCACCTGCACACTTCTTGCGGGCGCGAACCGCGCCCGAAACAATCACCACCACCCAAGGAACATGTTCGGGAACCCCATGGCGACTGTCCCAGTTGGCTATCTCTCAACTACGCCCGTGAATGATCCCTAACCGCGAGATCTGATCTCGGCCTTCATAACGCATCTACAGTCGGTGACGACAAGATCGCCGCATCTCCGTCTGGCATATCGCACAGACAGCCGACGGGTGGCCGTGTGCTCTCCTTCCCTTCTTCCTTCCTGCGTCGCCATGCTCAGCCTTCCTTCCCGTGCGCCAATAGCCTGCTCGCGTGCTCACCGGTGCTTCGCCTACCCCTGGTCAGCCAGGGACGATGCCAAACGCCACTGCCAGTAGCCAGGGTAGCGGGCGAAGGACGATCGAACCCCCCAAAGAACCTGGCGAACCCGAAGCGCGACCAGCGCCGCCGCCGCCATGATTCAATCGTATACTGCGAACAGCGTTTCGTTGATGTCTGTCTGATATCCCCATCACATGCTGCAGACGTACCGTGCACGATTCCTGTGTTGCCGCCCCACCAAACAATTGATTCACCGAGATCCGTTTGCATCTTCAGTTCATCCGGAAGAGAACAGCGTGGGCGGTGCGTGCGTACCGTAGAAGAGCGTCCAGACGAGCACGAAGGAGAAGATGTTCTCTTGCCCGGGATTCACGAGCTCCCACCAGCCCCCGGGCACAAATTTTGCCGGTTTCCCCTTGCACTTCACGTAGAGACAGGAGGAGGTGAGCAGGGTCGAGAAGACGAAGAGCGCGAAGCCGAGCGTGTTCTCCAGGCCGAGCACCCCTGCGACAGCACCAGAGAAGCAGGACGAGAAAAACTTCACAGTGTAGAGCCGGGCATTGTTATACTGGACGTTGGGCTGGAAGAGCAGCTGCGCGGCGGCCTCAGGGGTGGTAGCAGTCGCCGACATGGACCAAGGCGTGGTCGTGGACGTCGCGGTCGAAGGTGTGGCGGACGCGCGTGTGTGACGAGTGGAGTCACACTGCAGAATAGTGTCACACTCACGCGAGGGGATCTGCGGATCGCGTACCAAATCGGGACCTGCTTTGCGCTCCTCGCCGCTGAGACTCGACCCAGAGTCACTGCGTCCTCTCCGTCCTCCTCCTCACCGTCTCGAGCATCCGCAAGCTCACCATTAGGGCCGCACTTCTCTCTGGGATCCGACATGACGAACCAGAGGCAGTACAAGGTCGGCGTCCTCGGCGCGACCGGCACCGTCGGCCAACGCTTCATCGCGCTCCTCGCAGAGCATCCTTTCTTCGTGATCCACGCGCTCGGTGCGTCCGCTCGATCGGCCGGGAAGCCGTACGGCAAGGCGGTCAACTGGAAGCAGACGAAGCCCATCCCGAGCGTCGTGCGGGAATTGGTCGTTCAGGAATGTATACCTGAACGTTTCAAGGAGTGTGCTATCGTCTTCTCCGGCTTGGACGCAGATGTGGCGGGCGATATAGGTGTGTTCTCGTCTGATGCCAATACCAGGTTCCGCTCAGAATTCATGATTTCCCGCTTCGTGCAGAGCAGGCATTCCGCGTCGCGGAGCTCGCCGTCTTCTCGAATGCGAAAAACTACCGGAGAGACCCGCACGTCCCGCTCATCGTTCCGCTCGTGAACACCTCCCATTTCTCCATCATCCCGCAGCAGCAGCGGCTGCACTCCCCACCCCTCCAAAAGGGTTTCATCGTCACGAACGCCAACTGCTCGACCACCGGCGTCGTCGTTCCCCTTGCCGCGCTCGAGCGCGCCTTCGGGCCCATCGAGTCCTGCATGATCACGACCATGCAAGCCATCTCGGGCGGCGGCTACCCAGGCGTGCCCTCGCTCGACATCATGGACAACATCGTGCCCTACATCTCCGGGGAGGAGGAGAAGATCGAGTGGGAGACGCTCAAGATCCTCGGGGGCCTGGCGCAGGGCGACGACGGCCTGAAGGCGTTCGACATGCACACCAAGCAGCCGCTCCGCATCTCGGCGTCGTGCAACCGCGTGCCGGTCATCGAGGGCCACACCGAGTGCGTGAGCGTGCGGTTCGCCCGCCGCCCGCCGCCCAGCCCGCAGCAGGTTCGCGAGGCGCTCCAGAACTACACGAGCGAGGCGTACACGATCGGGTGCCCGTCCGCCCCGAGGCACACGGTGTTCGTGCATGAGGAGGCGGACCGGCCGCAGCCACGGCTGGACAGGGATTACCAGCTCGGGGCGGGGGTGAGCGTGGGGCGGGTACGGCAGTGTCGGGTGCTGGACATCAAGTTCGTCGTGCTCGCGAACAACGTCGCGATTGGGGCGGCGACGAGCAGCATCATCAACGCGGAGTACGCGGTCTTAAAAGGTATCGTCTCAGCCTAGACGCAAGATTGGGACTCCCGGACGTTGCCCCAGGTCCGTTGGATATCAGTTAAAGAGGGAGGGGTAGGGGCCAGGTTGCTTGGCATGGTAGAAGGGGGGAGGGATTGGGCGGACGTGCTGGTCCGTGCCGCTGCAGTTGGGAAAAACGATTTACATGTACGAGTTAATGGGCGGAATGCAAGCAAACACACCACCATACATAGACATTTCACGACCTCCCGCTCTTCCTCCCCGTTTGGCCGTCGCAGGATGCGGCACACGCTCACACTGGAGACCACAACGCACAACGCGCACAATGTAGTCCCGAAGATGTGGAACTGAGTGGACCCACAACTGGGATAGGATAGATTGCAGTGACATGGAGGAGTATGGGGGGCCCAGGGTGCTGCAATTTATCTCGCCGTGAATCTCGTCGCTAAATGGCCGAGGAGAGGATCTGTACATGTGTCCACCCACGCGAGCTTGCTCTGCGAAGGGATCGACAGTCGACAACGACGCGATAAATGCAACGCACCCGATCTCCGCCCCGCCCGGCTTCTTTCCCAAATCCGGTAATAGCCTCCTTCTCCCCGCCAGACGCCGCGCGCACGCGCGAGCGCAATCTATCCTTACTTGTCTTCTCTCTTTGCACTACACCTTGCTTTTCACCATGGCTGCTGCATCGTCGTCGACGGCCGCGGGGACGAACGCGACAGAGCAGGACGCGCTCAAGGCGCTCACGTTTCAACGCTTGCACCCGAAAACTTATCTTGAGCGGTTTCTGGCGGAGAATGTGAGACCGGACGGGCGCGACTTTGACGAGTGGAGGGACATTTCTGTGAATGTAGGTTCGTGTTATGGCGTGTGGCGGAAGGTGGTGAAGCGAGCCTAGGATATTGACTCTGCACGAAGGCTCGATCTCAACTGCGGACGGCTCTGCGCTCGTCAGGCTGGGTTCGACGACGGTTGTATGCGGCGTGAAAGCGGAAATTGCAGAACCAGAGCTCGACAAGCCGAAAGATGGCTTCCTAGGTGCGCTACTTCCAATATTGCGCCCTGTGCCATCGCGACCCATGTCCCACCAGTCCCCAATCTCGACCTTCCCGCCATCTGCTCTCCGAAGTTCAAACCCGGGCCTCCAACAGATGAGGCGCAAGTGATCTCAGACAGACTGAACGACGTCCTCATCTCGTGAGTGCAATCATATCCTGTACCGTCTCCCAACTCCGCCACCAACTTCCCCAGCTGCGCAGATCAGGCGTGGTATCCACATCTTCGCTGTGCATCGAGCCCAGCAAGTCGGCATGGGTGTTGTACGTCGACGCAACATGCATCAACTACGATGGGAACGCGTTTGACGCGACACTTCTCGCGATGGTGGCGGCGTTGAAGAACAGTGAGCTTCTCTGTTCACATCATCATATGCTGGAATACTAACTGAAACCTTCTTGTTGGCGCGTGCGTGCAGCACGACTGCCGAAGGCGAGGTATGACGAGGACCGGCAGCAGACCATCTGCTCGCGCAAGGTCAAGGAGCCTCTTCAGATTGGCAGACTACCTGTGTCATTTTCCTTCGGCATATTCGATGGGTATGCCGCGCACCCTTGCTCGACCAAATGCACTCTTCCAACGCGTTCGGTTTCAGAGCGTATATACTGGCCGACCCTACATCTTTCGAGGAACCCCTGCTTGATACATCGGTGTCAGTAGTGGTCGACGACGCCGGTGGCCTCATCTCCGTCATGCAACTTGGCCTGGGAACAGCGGACGGACAGGACTTGCTATCGACGTGCATCGACGCAGCGAAGGAATGCTGGCAGAATACACGAAAGGATGTATACGCGACGTCCTGACATCGCGAGTAAGGCGCCTGAAGCACATGTCACGCTGATTGTCCGTGGTACGTCATGTTCAGCATATCTCTCGTTCTCTGCCCTTTACAAATTCATGTTCGTAATTGGGTAGGTAAAAGCCAAGACGCCCATCTCCAGGTTTGCGCCTGTTGGAGAAGCCTGCAGTAAACTCGCGCCTGTCTGCTCACACGTCCCAATCAACGCGTGCGATGGTCCAAAGATGGCCCGCTTCATTTCCGGTCAGCGGAGGAAGGCACAAGTCGTGACACACGTAAACCACGTCTGTAATAGCACACGCCCGAGGTGCTATCTCGCTTTGCAATATTCAGTTCTTCATCTTCTTGATCGGTGAAGCACACACGCGTCCCCCTAGTGCCCTAGACAATCGTGAGCACGATTGCTACGTTTTCAAACTTCAGTTCCATTCTGGAATGGGAAGCGGTCTTGTTCGAGCAAGTACTCTCCTGCGAGAGGGTTGCTTCAAGGTACGTATCTGTCTAATTAGGTTCGTCTCAGGGCTCAATCTCGCACCAATAGCTTCCGGTTAGGAAGGCGCATATTTCATCATGATCTTGTCGATGGCGCCATTGGTCAAACCAGGTCCAGAACACGGGATTCTAAGCACAAGAAAGGAACGACGGAAGGTACCGCTACCGCACAGGAGCTCTCAAGGCATGAACAGTACTTCTCTCGAGATCATACCGCAGTTAGCTTGATCTCGTGTCGTCCTACGCTGAGGATGGGTTTCGAGACTCTGCTCCTTCAACTTGGTGTTCCAACGGCCGACAGCGTCGACCAACTCAACGTCGTCTGCATGCAGCCTCTCCGGGTCTCGGTACGGCTTGTCATCTTCCCCCTTCGAGGTCGCGTAGTAGTGGACAACGAGTCCATCTGGCCGCGAATGGTGGAACCCCCCACTGCATCGTAAGGGGTCAGCGTAAGAATCATTCACAGCGCTTCACATGCCGAAGAGATGCGGAAACACTACTCACATGTCGTTGCTCAGGTACTGCGGGTCGTTCCCTCGCAGGACGTACGCCTGCGTCGTCATCGGTACGTGCTGAACTTCCGACCCCACGATACGCATGTGGACGCGCGCCAAGCGCCTAGGGTAGTCCCCAGGGCGCACGGTGAGGAGCTCGAGGCTGGCCGTTCGCGTCCATCGTCACCTTGCCGCGGAGTGTGGATGTCGCGAAGTAGTGTCTTTCAGTGATAACCAGCAGAAAGGGTGCATACTCTGCTCAGCTTGGGGAGTCGAGCATGTCGCGCAGCGATTGGGCGAGGGAACCGCGGCGTATCGGCAGCCCTAGTGTTACCTCCGAGCTTCGCTCGGCTCGGAGACCAGTATGCACATCCCATATAGCAAAGCACGAATGCTCAGTTCATGGAAGTGGCAGAAGCTAGTTACGCTCACATCCAGTTTAAGGCGCCATTTGCTGAAAGCATAATTGTCACAGGTCGAGTGCGCAGAACCCTTATCGTCACTGGAACCCAACTACATAAGCATGTGGTGAGCATCCACGCAATGCCGAAAGGATCTAGCACAGCCTCTGAAAGTATTCCATCCATGAGACGCCTCATCCCTCCCATGACCGAGTCGATGATTACCAAAACGCGAGGTAATTGTGCCGTACGTCCAGTGACCTTGCCTTTCAATACGCGGTGAGCTTTATCTGATGGCGACCGACGCTCTTGATATTCTTAGACAGGCCCTGCTCCTTCAGCTTCGCATTCCAGCGGTTGATCGCGTCCGCCATGTCGACATCCTCTTGGGGCAACTTGGGGAGATCAAAGTACGACTTCCCATCCTTTGGATCCTCAGTAGCCCAGCAAATGGCCATGTTTCCGTCAGGGCGAGGGCGGAACTTGTTCGCCCTACATCGGATGTCCCAACCATATAGAGATCAGCCAAGGCAATTCAATATCTCGAGTTACGATTACGCACACATCATGGCTCATATGGACGGGGTCATTCCCGGTGCAAAGGTAGGTCTGAGTCGTCATCCGGTTGTGCTTCAAGCTGGCGGGTTGGATTCGCATGTGGATGTGCGCCGCGCGACTAAAGTAGTCTCCCGGGCGGACGGTTAGGAGCTCGACACGACCCTTCCCGTCGGTGATCATCTTGCCGCGAAGAGTCCAACTGAAGAAGTAATAGGTGCCGCTGCTATCTGCTTGCCAAGTATCGATGATAGCGTTCTTGACAGGCTGACCATTGGTGTCCTTGACCTCTAGAACGAGCAGGAAGGGGTCGAACTCTATACTCCTCAGTGAGTTATGGGGCTTTCAAAACGCATCAAAATACCGAACTTACTGTTAAAGAGCTCCGTAGACGACAGCACCGCCTGGCCCTCATCGACCTGTACTCCGGGTGCGCCTTGGAGGAAGAAAGGCCCTATGAGGCGCCCTTGAGCACAGCCGTCGCTATACTGCTCTGGAGGTTATACAACCTACCTTCAATGTCGTCAAACCAATTCTTCGCACCGCGGAACCCGAGGAACCACGATAAAGGGTTGTCCAGCACGGTCATGACCCAGGTCGAGCGGATGACGAACCAAAGCCACAAAAGCGGACTCATACGCCTGTATGGAGCCCAGTCGGGAATACTTGAACGACCCATTATGGATTGAGCCAGAAAGGTACGTAGTGTTCAGTGACTGAGATATGTGTAGTCTGGATGCTGGAGTCAGGGCGGAGCGACGGGGAGAAGAGCTGGTGTAGGTTGGCAAGCTTCGCTCCCATCGTTTATATGGATGGCAGAGCAAGCGAGGCTTCTCCACGCTTCGCCTGCTTTGACACAGAAGCTCATTCGCATCTCGACTTCATCGTCGCGTGCTCGACGTCCGCCGTGCATGCATCAGCGGATCTGGTATGTGGAGTAACGGCTACAGCAGCGTGGTTAGCCTATCCGGAGTACGGATTGACGCTTTTGGTCTCACGAGCCTGCTTGTTTCCAGCGTTCCAGTCACATTGAGCATGCTGATGGCTGATCGAACAATGGTAATTGTATAGGACTCAGATCTGACCATTAGGTCAGCGGTTAGTCAATAGGTATTCGTAGGCATCTGAATCGTCTGGGGATGGAGGACATTTTGTGCGGTGAGCGCGTGAAGGATTGTCCGGATTTGGAGGCTATGCAACTACTGTAAGCCATGATTTCCCAGTTCTATTTAGCGAAGGAGCGTAGGCAGCACTTCAGGTGTGTACTCGTGCAGTCATCGTGTTACAGCCGTTCAAGCATGCAACATGTACCGATTCGCCAAGCCCCCTTTGGCGAGTATTTCTCAGAGGCCCTTTGTCCGATAGGGCTGGCGACACAGTGAGCATTGATGTCGAGGCCGTATCATACCTTCGGAATACTGTTCTTGATCATATTGAACAATGGTAGAGTTGACAAAACTCGGGTTGTTTAGTACATACGTAGTGTCCCAAACTCTTCCATGTACCAAGCGATTGGCAGCGTCAGCACTTCCCTGTGCTCGAGAACGTCGGACTTGTGAAACAGAGGGGACGTCCGCACGTGGAAAGTTTCGTATATTGGCACCAGCTGGTGCAGTACGGTGAAGGTTGACAGTCCTCCCGATTTGGACTATTTTTCCTCGGCGCCACAAAAACACCGTGTATGACTTTCGTTGACCAAACGTGTATGTGTGATCGCTACGAAAGGACGTGTTCTCTTCGTCTTCGAAAAAGTAATGGGTTCGCTTGAGCAATAGAGTATCACCCTCCGCGCGTTAGCATGCTGACGCCTGATGCTCTAGGCTTGACAATCCATTTGTCAGCTCCTTCCCTCCGTGCCCCGTTCAATTTCATAGGTACTGCTCACCTGTAGTTGGCGTGGACTCGTCTTCCCATCTGCACTTTTCGGACGTTCGGCTTACAGCTTCGGGACACGTCTCCGAAACCCACCTTTCGCTACGACTTGCATGTACAGCCAGTCAACCATCGTATGCGAGACACGCACATATAGGAGAAAGAGAGATGTAAAGGAAGTTCAATGACCGTATCGTTTGCTACACATGCACACCGTGAAGTCTACGGGAATACACAATCCAGAAAAGCAGGCTGACCGCCATACTCCCCCCGAGCGCCTTCGCCCGGTCTTCGTGCCGCGACCAGCCCCGCACCTTCTTCGGGCTATGAGGGGGATAATGGTGACTATGCACGGGGTGGGGGATCACAAGCATTGAGAGTAGTAAGCTAACAAGGAGCAATCGTGGTCGTGAGCACGTGCAGCAGACAAGGAAGGAGCGCCGTACCGTTCAGGGCCTGGCAAGTGTAGGACGCAATGCACGCGGTCGCACCGGAGTAGCCTTGGCCGCCGCACTGACCGTACTGAGCGACGGTGCCGACGGGTGCGGAAGACTGGGTCGGGGGCGCGCTAGTGCTCGAAGGGCCGACAGGGACAGTGGTGGGGACGGCAGTCGTCTGTTCGGCCCGGGAAGTCAGCATCCACTCAGAATCGCGTGCAGGCGATGACGGGACATACGGAAGCAGGAGGGGGAGCAGGGGACCCAGTGCCGCTGCCGTAGAGAGGGGGTCCGGGGATGGTGTAGTTCGTCTGGGTCATCGCCTCGTTCGTGTAGAGGTCGACAGTCACTATAAGCCGCGCAGAAACCGCGCACATCAGCGTCCCCGGATCGCCCCCGCAGATTAACAGAAGCACGTACGACCAGGGTCAGAGGCCGAGTACGCCCCGGGGAACGACACGAGCTCGTCGGTCGTGGGCTGGAGCGAGCCGCCGCCGGTGATCTGGATCTGCGCGCACTCGGGGTAGAACTGCGCGGGGAGCGAGTGCAGCGCGATCGTCTCGAAGCGGATGAGGTAGTTGCCCGAGGGGACCGAGGCCGGGATCGTCGTCGTCCAGGACGAGTTCTGGTCGATCATCTTGCCTGAGCCCCAGTAGCCGTCGCCGACGGTGCCGCTGAGCAGGCCGGCCTCATCGATCTTGAACCACTTGAGAGTGTTGGCGTTCACGCCAGTGCAGGTCGAGCCCGGGCACTGGGCGAGGTAGGTCAACTGTGCAATGGGTGAAGGGTCGTGGTCAATCGCTGCAGTTCGAGGCGGCTCGAAGCGCGGGCATACCATGGGGCCGTAAGCGTGAGGCCAGACCTGGTTCCAGTACGCAGTGATGGGGTCGCCAGCCTTGGTCGTCGTGGTAAGCTGGAGCGCGCCGGAGGTACCGTCATCATTGCAGGCGAGAGTGGGGTCAGTCGGGTTGGTGATCGGGTTGCTGTAACACGATCTCGGTGAGCGCTAGCCCAGGCAATTCCTCGGGAATGGAATGGCGCCCTCGGAGTAGGTAGCAATATACGCACTAGGACGACCACGGGCGCTGGATCGTAGTCTGACCAGTGGGCGAGTTGTACGGCTAGAAAAAGCGAAACAAACGGGCATGTCAGTCTCGAGTGCGGTTGGCAGAGCGCGCCAGAGGGCGGATCGGGCGAGCACATAATCCAGGGCAGCGACACTCACAGCCCAGCCCTGGAAGATCTCGCCCTCGATCTTGTACGAGAGCACACCGCCGTGGGCGAAGACCTGCGGGAGCGCCGCGGAGGCGAGGGCGACGAGAGTGGCGAACGCGAACATCCCTGTGTTAACTTGCGAGGCCTTTTGCTGCGGGAGGAGGGAGCAGGAGCTTGCGAGGCGAGCTTGACGGACCCCCAGCCCGACCCCGCGGGGCTTTATACGTCGCGTCCTGGTCCGTTGCAACGCATTCTCGAGGCTGCGGCGTCCGCGGGCCATGTGCGCGAGACCATACGACTAGTGCCGTGCCTTGCCAGGCAGCCCACGCCGAGGCTGGTATCACGTCCAGACGGCATACTCTGCGCAAGCCCTTCTGAAGCAGGACACGCGATTGGCCGAGGGGTCCTCGCGCGTCGGATATTCAGCGGATGCGGGGTCAACCCCGCACACAGGCCATTGAGTGCGCGAAGAGCCAATCTCCAGGAACGCGATTCAGCGACGCAGCGCGTGTGGCCGGATGACGCACCTGCGCCGCGACGGAGCAGGAAAGATGGGCGAGGTGGCTGGCGGGGACGAGGCGCGTCGGGATTTCTTCGCAGGGTATATCCGATGTTTGCAGCTTCTGTTGCGCCGGAGCCTGTTCACGTGCGCGGTCGCTACGCGCGAGAGCGGGTGTCTGCGATGCATATAGTTATGTGCATCTCGAGTGCTGTCGGTGGGCGGGATATATAGACCCACGCTCGAGTAGTGCTGAGTTTGGGCGCGAGTGACGCTGTAGGTCCCCACGAATACGCCTAGTAAACCAATTACGGAGTACGCGTATATGGGCGGCGCCGCGGACACGTTACGCATTGAATAGGCCCTCGGCACGCTCGGACTGTCCGATATCGAGAAGACGGTGGTCGTGCGTTGACAGGATAACATCCGGATGTGCGGTCGGCATGTCTTCGGTATGTCTTCTAGATCTGTCTGAGGGAGCAGTGCACGTGTGTTTCGGAGCCGCGACCAACAACACCAACATCTATCATCAATACCAAGTTGCAATTAGTAAGGCGGGACGGTGACAGGAATAGCCAAACCAGTGCTCCTCAGATCGCGAGGCGCAGCCGGGGGCCGTCTAGCCCATGGTCAAGCGTTGGATGTCGACGGTTGGCATCTCGGCGGCAGATAGACGGCAGGCAGCTCGTTCAGTCCCATACGGCCCTCTCACGCCTATTCAACATGTCCCGTCCACGTCTTGTCATGACATGCCGAGTGCTATGAATATCGCCCTGTTTAACCGGGCGCTGACATACGAAGGGAAAACGACGTGCCTGCGTATGCAATGTCGGGACGACCATTGTACAAGCCGAACGGCCGGGCGGTAGCAAAATGGAAAGAACCTACATTTTTTCGTCTCCGTATTGCACTGGGAACGCAACTCGTCACTTCCAGGCATATGGCGTTCACAAGAGTTCATGCGGACGGTGCGTACAGAAGAGTGTGCGTGCAGCGTGGCAAAGCACTGGCACCAGCGCCGATGCGTAGCGTAAAGTCCGAGCTACCACCAACACGGTGAATTCGGCAGGAGGAATGGGCCGGTTAGCCGTTCTTTCGTTTGCTTCCATGAATACACGGGTGGGCCATCGGGCCGACATGCTTGAATAGATAGGTGCCTGTGGGGGATTCTCGAGGTGGCTCGCGGACTGCGCAGCCTTCTCGGGACTAACAGCAAGCTGGCTATTGTGTGGCGGCCTACTGCGGCACGGTCAACGCGTATTATGGAATGGAGCGAGAATAGCACAGAAGAGTGTGGACGCCGTTCCCAGTGTACTGTACTCCAGAACGGACGACGCAAGCATGAGCAAACGCCGCGTCAAGAGAAGCCGAAGGTATCCGGGTGGCATCGAAGTGGTGTGTTTCTTCCGGATACTGCGAACGCTGGTGTTCGGGACACATGAGCTCGCCGTTTGCAGAGGAACCAATGCGAATGATTGGATGACTTCCCATAAGAATCTACGGCTCTGGAGTGTCCGTAGACCTATATCGGAGCTCTAATCTCTCTAGAGATCTCGGGCGCTCAATGATCAGGCAGGGATATCCGGAGAGCGTCTAGTGCTATGCACGTGTTCTCTTGGGCCTTACATCAGCACCCAATGTAGTAGGTGATTGATCCCAACACAATTTGTAATGATGGCACCTTCCTTTCGAGTCGTTTACGACCTCAAGCGAGCATCTACGGCTGCGTTTAGGTCTAGAAAGGGGGGTCGACCCCCCCTTCTAGAATTTGGGCGCTTGCAGCATCTACGGACGTCGGTCTCAAAAGCGGAGTACAAATCGTTGTCGGCATCTCGGCGGATAGGACACTTTCAGTATCTACGGACGACAAAATGGCCGTAGATCCTTATGGGAAGTCATCCATTGACAATCGGAGGGGAAGCTGTACTTGTGATACACGCAGTGCGCACGAGCTTGCGGGAATCAGAGACATCAACGACTGGTATCCCGCCAATGCGATATTGTTAGAGAGGCTATAGTGATCCCATGATATTCACATATCGAGTAGTCACTATCACAGGCCCATTTGAGGTGCCACGTAAGGTCGAAGCTTTGAAGCGGCGGGAGATGGGGTGAGAAGCTGGACAGGCTTCGTCGCGTTCTATGGGGAGCGTCGACGCCGACCACATCGGAGAGGGCAGGCGCTCGGGATGGTCGGCTAGTGGGATTCGGACGCGGAGAGGACGTTCTATCAGGCGCGAGGAGCCCACAAAGGGGTTTCCGAACGACGACTGGGAGCAAATGGTCGACGAACGAGAGCGGAGGGAACGACGCGGAGTGTTGAGGGGGAAGGTGAATCATTGATATCGACAAGCAGTGATGTGCAAAGGGGGAAACGTAAAAGGCGATGGGCACTGCAGTACTGGTCATCTGACAATCAGGAAGCAAAGGCCGAGCACATCGCCCTGTGGTACTCGCGCCGGTGGACGTGGCAGGCGTGCAGGGGGGAGGGGGCAGCTGGGATGGACTGAGGCCTCGTACGTACAGTATGTCGGGCGAGATCGTTGAGCGATAGAGTGTGTTGCTGGCGGTGTCGTAAATACGTATTGCAGTCGGCAAACGCGAGCTGGCTGGGGCTATTCCCTTTTTAGGTTGCGGTGTCGGGCGTCTACGCGGGGAACAGGCCAGACTCCCTCAGACGCTCGTTAGCCTTTTTGACCGTCTCCGTCCCTCTTTCCCAACCATCCTCGTCTTCCCCCTCCCGTCTCCCGCGCCCTCCCCCTCCCTCCGCCGCAGCGACAACACCGCCATGCCCATTCTGAGCCTCCCCAATCCTCAACCTACTTCGTCATCACTGCGCAAGAAGCTCAGCGTCCGAGCTTTGTCCGTCAAGTTCCGCCACAAGTTGTACGTATTGCTTTTCTTGGCTAGCATCCGTCTCGTTCTCTCGCGGCTGCCCTTCTCGACCGCCCTTCTCGACCGCACTTGTCACACCGACGAAGTGCTCGTACACGAAGGATCACAGCGTACAGAGGATCGGTTGCATGGGGCGCGAGTTCTTTGTCTTGGAGCTCCGTGCGAACTCGGAGGGCTTGACATCAATGTGGCGTCCTGTTCCTCGTCGCCTCAATCCGTCCCTTTTGGCCAGGTCCTAGACACTCTCATCAATCCCTCATCTTCCCTCTTCCCCACATCTGTGCCCTCTTTTACTGACAGTATCTTCACAGCCGCAGACCCAGGGCGCAACAGCCGTCCGAACCCGAAATCGTCCGGCTACCTCACATCCCGCCAGAGCTCTGGGGCCTCATCATTCAGCACGCCTGCTTGTTCCACCATGACCCTCTGGACACATCACAAGACCTTTCCTTCCTCGAGTCACCCTCCACGCAGCTCGCGACATACCGCTCTTGCATGGCTACAAAGCGGAACCTCTCTCTCGTGTCGTCGCAATGGAACGCCCTCACTCGCAGTTTCCTCTTCGAGTTCGTCTGGATATCGCGCGCAGCGCAGGCCAAAGCTTTGGCGCGAACCCTTCTCATGGAGTATGTGGAGAACTTTTCGTCCAGCGGGAAGTTCATCAGGCGACTCCACATCGAGACGCCAGCGCTCGAGCGGTGCGCACCCGCCGACCTTCGAACTATACTCGATTACTCGCCGCACCTAGCCATCTACTCGGACCACCATTCCGTGCAACGTAACGTCCTCGAGGATTCGCCTGATCCCCGTTGTAGTCCAGAAGAGATTCTCAAGCTTGTCGCCCAGCCCAAGATCCGACGACTCAGCTGGACGAGCTACGACGATGTACCATTTGAGCTCCGAATGGCACCGCTCGTGAAGAACGTGACCACGCGACTGGAATACCTCGAACTGTCGTCTCGCTGTACGGACCTGTCAGGGTTCAACAACGCGCTCACGGCCTCTTCCACAACTGGCAACTTTGGCCACCTGCAGATGAATGTTCACCTGCCATCCTTGCGAGCGCTCAAGGTGTCGCTCGATAACAACACATTCGCCGTCTTGGCGTCATGGGACATGCCCGCACTAACGAACCTCTCCGTGATGTCCTCGGACTTCAGCTACACGGGCGAAGGCTTCTCGCGCTTCTTCCAGGCGCACGGCCGCAAGCTCATGCAGCTCGAGCTCGGCCACTCGTCCTCTCTCATTGAGGAATACTACCTCACTACTCCCCAACACCTCGTCGCCCTTCAGCAGCAGAACCAGAACCAGCCCGCTCACTCGCCCCCTGTGCCTCTCGCGGAGTGGTGCCCGAACCTCCGTGAGTTCATCTGCTCGGCTGACGCCGAGTGGCACTGGCAGAGTCCCGACTGGATCGCGCCGCACATCCTCCTCCCGGCCCATCCCCGCGTGGAGCTGATCGGCATCCGCGACATCGACACGCGCCTGCTCGAAGACCCTATCTCATCCCGACTCGACACCGACTCGACCTCGTCCACAATCCTCTCGTATGACTCTCTCGACGTCAACGATGCGGACACCCCATACTTCCTACTCTACGAGCAGATCTCGTCCCTCCTGAGCCGCGACGCGTTCCCGAGTCTGCGCTTCGTGCGCGATCTGAGCGCGGAGAGCCACCGGATGCGCACGGTCAGGCCCAGCGCGCGTGTGCTGCAGTTCTGGAAGAAGGTCGTAGCGCGCTGCGCCGAGCGCGCCGTGTGGTTCGAAGACTGTACAGGGGTGAACGTCACGCAGGGCGCGCTCAGGCGCGCTACGCTCAATGTCGGTGGGGAGATGGGGGCCGCATGATGCGGTTCTCATCATGCCCACCCATGAGGTTTTTGGATATGCAGCGCGGCCGCCCGCGAGGTTCTTGGATACGTGTATTGGTTTTCTTTCTGATGCCGCGCTGCGGCCACGACAACGACTATGCCGACGACATTATATGACATGACATGACACGATATGACTTACATGCGCCCCTCCCTTCCCCTCCTCCAACCATCTCATGCGCTCTCCGCCATTGCGTTTCAAGCATCAACCAACCGTCAACACCGAACATACCATCCGCATACAGCATCGCCACCAATACCCCTGTCCATCATCAACGTCAACACGCAACACAATCATCTACCATCCCGTGTACACTCAATCCCCGTTAACACCATCGATCTCATCCCGCATCCCTCCCGCAGCTTCCGCGTCCCCGTCTCTGCCCGCACACGCAATTCCGAGTGTACATACATACCCTTCACGTCGCATCTATCCGCCCTCCCAGATTTTTCTCTCGTCGCGCGCCCGCATTTCAGAGCATCTAAACTAAGCCCTCGTCTCGTCGGTCTCCGTCTCCGTCGTCTTTGCTGTGCTTCCCTCCCACGTCCTGTTATCTCGTCCCCATCCGAGTCTTTGGAGTTGTCACAACATCTTACCACACACACATTGTACGCTGCATAGATGGCCGTCTGAAATTTCTCTTCGTCGTCGTTCGACCGATTTTCCTTCGATTGGCGGGCACGTCTGTCGGTTTCCCAGTCGTCCTTCTGCGTCGTCGGCATCGCCATGGCAGTTCGCCCTCGGACCGTTTCTCTCCCACTCTGTTTTGGGCTGCATGTTAATAGGGTGAGGAGGCTCCGGGCTAGGTTGGCGTCTGTACATCAGTTTCTCACTGGGCCGTCTGGGGCGCTCAGGCTGTCTGTTGTATCTGCTAGCATAGTGAGGTGAGATATGTAGTGGTCAATGCATGGTTCCGAAGTAGTCTTTCGCGCGCTGGCTTTGGCACTTGGAGCGTGTTACGTCGCAGACAAAACGACCGGAATCAAATATCTAGAAAGCACAGTACAGTACGGGGTAACAAGATAGGGTGTACAGGTACTAACTACGCAGCTACGGTGCAATACAATAAGCACACAAATAAATCTACAACAAGTCCAAGCACGGCGCGCGCCCCATGTCCGCGCTCTCAGCCCAGTAAATCCCTCCCGAAGCCAGGCCCGAGTCTATAATCCGAACCTTTACACACCCGCGCTTCCCTGATTCCTGCGGAACCTCAAGAAGTCGTCGATGAGGCCGTTCATGTCGCCCATGCGCTTCTCCTCGGGCAGCCACTCGCCGTTGTTCACGCACAGGATCCTCATGCGCTCGTGGTAGTGCAGGTCGGGGAGGAGCTTGGGCGTGATGAGGAAGTACTGCCCGCTGTCGGGCTTGCACGTCACCTCGACGAGCGAGTTGTGAACCGCCCGCTCCGCGCGCTGGTCCATGCCTTGATTGATCTCGTCTACGAGCGAGAAGGGTGCGCGGGCCTCCTCGGTCAGGCTCATCAGGTAAAGGATTGTCGTGAGCGAACGTTCCTATGGCAGTTTTGGTTCAGGACATCGTAAATTGGGCGGCACAAGAGGTAAGACTTACACCACCGGACTGCCGCTCGCCTGTCAGAAGCTGGAGCTTTTCGTGGTCACGGAACTTGACCATGATGTCGATTGCCCATTTGTCGTAGTCTTCGTCCTCGCGGATCCTGATTTCCCCAGCGCAACCGATCCGATCGAACGCAGCAGAGAACTTCTCGCCGATGCTGCCGACCAGTTTCTCCAGCTCAGGCTGCCAGTTGTCCTGTTCAATGCAGCGTCTGTCAGCGAATGTCAATTTTTTGATACCAAGCTACGGGACGAACCCTAGCCGCCTTGATCTGCCGTTCGACCCTGAGGATCTGCTTCTCGCGTTCCTCGATGGTGGAGGAAAGGGCCGCGATCTATCCGCATGTCAGAAGAACGGATGACTAAGGAAGCACATGTGGACGAACCTCAGCCTTCCGTTTGTTGTACTGCTCGACGACGTTTGCATTTGTGGCCATGTTCATGTTGAGTTCCTCCTGACCCTGAGCAAGCTCGGCCTCCCACTCCTCTCTCGACTTGGCTGCGATCTCGCCAGCCTGTGAACATAACGAAGTCGTCAGGAATCGTCATCCGCGACAACCGACCACAACATCATGCGTAATACTGACCTCCTCCAACTGCTGAAACTTCTGCCGGATCTCGTCGTCGCATGCGTCGAGCTTCTCCTTGCTGATCCGGAGCTTTTCCCGGGAGTCCTCCTTGATCTTCTTCCATTTCTGGCTGACTGGATGGTGTGACCGAAATCAGACCCTGTTGAATATATGCCAAACCTGACGCACTTTCGACGAAGTTCGCTTGAGCGACCTCAATCGCCTCCTTCTGCTCTTTGCACGTCGCCTCGAGTGCCTCCTTGTTTGCCTGAACCTGGAGGTACTCGAGACCCGCGAGCGTGGCCTTCTCCTGCTCTTTGATAGACTCGTGCATCAGACGCTAGACATGCCAAGGGATTAGCAGGGATGAGAGAACGGCCAGGTCGCATAAGAAACCTACGACGTATTGCTGGACATTGGTCACCCGCTGGCCTGCGAGCTTGAGAAGTTCTGACTTGAGGTTATTGCGCTCGACATCCACAGGCTTCGCGTTCAACAGCTTGTCGAGCTTCTTCTTTTCGTTCTCTGCGTCACAGAGATGTCAGCACGACCTTGTACAGCATCAGGAGCTCGATAGAACACATACGCAGCCTTAACTGGGCAGCCTCGATCTTCTTGCGGGCATCTAATACAGCGCGCTTCCGCTTCTCGAGATCGTCCTGCACCACAACCCCGTTAAGCATGCTGAGGCTTCGTGCAGGTCAGGACATTGCAAGACTCACGTTGCGTGCCTTGAACGCCCTGCCCTCGATCTGGATGTGATTGTCCTCCTTCGACAGCTTCTCCTCCTCCTCCTGCACAAGCCTATAGTTCTCCTCCGCATCCGCAAGCTTCGCCCGTAAGTCGTTTCGGACCTGCGGGTCGACTGTACGCTACAATCAGCAGCCGTCCCGATTTCGAGGCAAAGCGAATGCAGGAAACTTTACCCGCGGTGTGCACAAGGGACCGCGCTTGCTTGATCTCGCTCGTCCTGTTCTGCGGAAGCCGCTTGCCGTACTTCGAGCGCGTCACGTCGTTCTTGACGCGGCCGATGATGTAGTTGAGCCCGCCCGCGCGGGCGGCCATCTCCATCGCCTTGACCTGGTCGACGCGTTGCGGGTCGCTCGCAATGGGCTATATACGCACGAATATATCAAAGCTGACTGTCAGCACACAAGAGTAGAGACAGAAACCTTGTGGGCGTACCGTACGGTGAAGCTTAACATCCGCACACAAGAACCACTTCAAGCCCTCCGGACAATCCACAAAGTCGATCGCATAACCATCAAAGCCCAACCCCTCCAGCTGGTCCGCTGGCAACGGCTGCGGCTGGAGCCTGCCTCCGTCCTTCGCCTTGAACCATGTATTGATCCTCGCCTTCCTGCCGACAGCCTCGGGAGTATCAACGCAGAGCCTGTTCAGCGTCTGGTAGTCCTCCTCGCACTGCGCGACGAACGTGCGGAGCTGCGCGCCGCCGAAGCACGCCTCGACCGCGTCGACGTATTGGCGGTTCGGCACGGTCACACAGAGGAATGCGGGCTCAAAGATCTCCTGGCGGAACCGGTGGCGGTTGCTGCGGAGCCACACGACGACGTCCGCCGCGTCGGAATCGAAGCGCTTGAGCTGCTCGAGCTTTTGGTGGGCCTCATTGTCAAGGCGCTTCAATCTAGAGGAGAGGCGATCAAGGGCGGTTAGTGGGCGAGAACAATTTGTGGGACAGGAAAGACATGCTCGGTAGTGTAGTGGTCGATCTTCTGTCTGCACTCGGCACTCTGCGCGGCGTTGGCTCGCTGCTTGTCTTGCAACTCGTACTGCCTTCTACGTAAATCGCTGCTCTCTTCGTTGAGCTTCCTCTACATAGAACGGTCGGTCAACACATCATGTGGTGATGAGGTAGGTTTACGAACCATCTCCCCATGAATGACCTCGAGATCTTCGGTCTTAGGTGGGTTCGCGATGTTCTTCTCGGCCTCCTCGATGTTCTTCTGGAGCTTCTTGAGTTCCTGTTGGCGCGTCTTCTCAGTGCTTTTCAGGTTGTCCAGCTTCTGCTTGAGCTCGTCCGCTTTTTCCTCCTACAGTTTCCATCGTAACACGCATGAGTTGCCGAGATTCATGACAGAGACGAAAGCGAAAATCACGCACGAGTCTGTTGTTCTCATCCCACTTCTGGCTCATACCTTGGACCTTACGGCGGGCAATGTTCTTCTTCTCTTCACGGACTTTGTCGCATTGCTTCAACTCCGCTTCTAGTTGCCTGTATGAACGTACCGCGTGAGCGATCGTGGTGGGGATAGACGCCCAAAAGCGACGAAATCCAGCATACGCACTTGCTCTTCTCCATGAAAGGCTGGTGCCTGTGACTGAGGCGCCTGACCGTCCTGACAGCCTCCTTGTGCTTCGGCTTGAACTCCCTATACTTCTCACGTGCTGCGTAATACTTTTTGATGGGCACGACAAGCTCGAGCAGCTCGATCTAGATGCAGATAGTTGAGTATAGATGTAATGTTTCGCGCAAATGGATCCGCATACCCGCTTCTCAAGTGCGCGACGCTCTTCATAACGGCGGACATCACGCTCGAGGTTCGCATTGCGATCCTCCATGGTCTTGAGCTGATCCTTGTCGGCGTTCACGAGCTGCAAAGATGGAGCATGTCAGATATGGACAACGCAACACCAAGCGGAGCACTTACATCTTGAATGTTCTTCAGGCTCTTGCCGGACTCGATGAGCGTGTCGTGCCATGCAGTCAGGTTCGGGTTACCAGCAGCGCGCTGTGTCTCCCTCAACAGCTGCTGAGGCGTCATTCGCGCGAACTCAGCCACTCTGTCCTGAGGCAAGAATGCGCTGTTGCGCGTCCTATGGGTCAGACATCGGGGCCGTGCTGCGCGAAATATGTAAGACATGCCAGAGGTTGTTGACCTGGACGTTCAGCTCCGCCATCTTGGCGTTGATGTCCTTGCCGGACGAGGACCGGCCGTTGAGCATGAATGGGGCGCTCTTGGAGTTGGAGAAGAGATTACGGCGAATGACGAGGTTGGGCTTGCCCTTCGCGCCCTTAAGCTCGATCTCAATGTGGCCGTCCTGCTTGTCGTTCTTGACGAACGACTTGAGGTCCTGAGCACGATTCAGGAGCTATAGGGGATTTTTGATTTTAGCATAAGTTGCGATAAGTCGCCGATATCGCTTACAGAGGGCGGGAAGTTGAGACCCAGACATATAGCGCAAGCAATAGAACTCTTGCCTGTACCATTCGGCCCAAAGATCATGTTGAGGTACGGGCCCGGTCGAAACTCGACCCAATCGTATGTTAAGAAGTTCCTCAGCTGAATGCGGACGATCGAGCCGGGCACGAAACTGCGCGGGTAGTGAGCCACCGACCGCGCATACAGGAATCAGACGTACCCATCCTTGTCTCGGGGTAGAGTCTGACCGCGTTTGTCCGGCCGGGAGGAGCCAGCGGCAGGATGGGCGTCGCCAATTGTGTTAGCACGAGCGCGTTTCCGGCCCTTGGGAGACTGCTCCGCACCCTCTTCATCGTCTTCGTCGTCCTCGACATTGCCGTTGGCGTAGTCGTGCACGTCTTTATCGTCTTCTTCCATCGCGTGCGCGTCGTCGTCGCCGTCCTCCGCGTCATGATGGTTCCGCATAGCAGCGCGCTTACTCTTTGTACTGGCCTTGGACGAGCTCGAGTTGTTAGCAGAACGGCCGTTGTTCTCCTTTTGCGAATCGTCAGAGTCGTGCGAAACAGCCCTGCGAGCCATCCCTGGTCAGGCGCGTCGCCGCCGAGCACGTTGGGCTGAGATGGTGGACGATGCGGTCGCTGGCGTCTAGCAACCGAAATGGCAGGAGCAGAAACGCCGTCGCCCTTGCCTCGACGCGTCGCGCGTATCTCCTGCATTAGGGCAGGTTAAATCGTAACAACGCACGTGACTGTATTTCGTGACTCGGCGCGCTCCCGTCTGCGATCCCGCACGATAGACGCCTGTCATACAGACTGCCAAGATGGCCACTCGTCTGCATCTGCGAGTCGAGCTAGATCCCTGCATTCCTCGACTGGAATCCGGGTCGCGATGAAGATCAGTAGGTTGTTCTTGATATCTCTCAACTGCGCGCCCTCCGGACTGAAGAAATGGATGATAACAGCCTTCGTCACCGGCAACGCGGGTAAATTGCGCGAGGTTCGCCAGATCTTGGGCGCGGCGAACATCGAGGTCGACTCGCAGGAACTCGATAGTGAGTACACTCCAGGAAAATACCCGTATGGACCAGCGCGAAAGATAACCCGGAACCCACTCTAGTTCCCGAAATACAGGGCTCTACGCGTGAGGTCGCCATCGCCAAGTGCCGCCGCGCTGCCGAGCTGCTCGGCCGTCCTTGCATTACCGAAGACACTGCGCTCTGCTTCAAGGCTCTGAACGGTCTTCCCGGGCCGTATATCAAGTATTTCCTCAAGGAACTTGGTCACGACGGTATGTCATGTTGTCATTACAGCGAATGACGATGCTTTATATCCACCAGGCCTGAACAATCTGCTTGTCGGGTTCGATACCAAGGAAGCCTGGGCACTATGCACGTTCGCGTACAGCGCTGGACCGGGCCACGAACCGATCTTGTTCGAGGGACGCACCGACGGCAAGATCGTCCCCGCGCGTGGGCCTAGCTACTTTGGATGGGATCCTTGCTTCGAGCCCGACGGCTTCGGACTGACGTGCACACCCCTTTCATTCTAGGCGTGTTTTGCCTACTTTACTGACTCACTGCACTGCAGATACGCGGAAATGGCCTCCGAACAGAAAAACAAGATATCTCATCGGGGGCGTGCACTGGAAAAGCTCGAGCAATATCTCCGTACCCTTCCCGCCCAATGAACCGTTCGGGACCGGGTGGTCATTATGATTTCCAGGCATTCCGGACACCGTCCCTGGACTAGATTTACTTTCCTGAGCACGATGTAGCAACAAATGAACACACTGTAGCCCATACCACCACCTGGACTCGGACGTAGTCGTGGATAGCGAGCCAATTCATCCATTATGCGATGAACACCACCTCTGTGGGCTATTGTCCACCCGTAAATTCTCGGGAGTTATCTTCAAAACTGACACCGATGGTGCTACGAGGGCTACGGAGATGTACAGTCAGACGATTTTGCTGAATCAGGCGAACCCGCCCGGCGGGAAATGTCCAAGTACTCAAGAAGCCTTAGTCATCCTGGGCTTCGGGCCATCCGCAGCCCTGCCAGTGAGGAAAGCACCAAATTTTCTGGGCGGACAAGGACGGCTCCTCGAGCTCAATATGAATGCTTTGGGACATACCCGACCCGGGAATTGTGATCGTCGCCTGAAGGTTGTCGCTTGAGAGCTGGAAGTCCGAACGGAGTGGGATGCCCCTCCGGCGGGACACAGCCACAAGGCTGAATCGCCGAGCGCCTGCCACGAAGGGCCACGTCAGTAGCGCTGGGGAGTGATCGAGCCTGAGCTGAGCCTGACTCAAGCCTGACTCAAACCATGCAGTGGACGTTTGGATGCCGACTGCCGCGCACGCACGCAGGACGCTTGGTCAGTATCGTCCATCGGCATACTAATCCACGCCTCGGATTCTGCGCGGGACACGGCTCTCAGACCAGCTATAATGCTGACCCCCTTGCACATCCGCAGTCTCTTCCGCGCCCTCCCAGGCATCAGCCTACCGCTCTCCCAAGCCAAGTCGAGCTCAGACTTCCGCAGGACGAACCGACGCTTCTCGTGCCACAGCCTCTGTGGCCTTGGGGCTCCTGCAGTATATAAGAACCTGTCCCGAACGATCCCAACTTCAAGAAAAGTTGAAGTCCATCGCCCCCTCACGTCTGCCATCTCCAGTCCCAAGGCTGGTAATCCACCAGCACTCGCACCCACACCCACGACACACTAGCTCAACATGATGCAAATGAGTGCCATCCTCCCAAACTTCGCCGGCTTCACCATCGCCCGCGGATGCTTCCACCTTCGCCTCGTCGACAAGATCGGGTCAGGCGCATATGGCGTCGTCTACCTCGCGCAAGACCTTGCGCCAGGCCCGCGCGGGGCGCCCTTCTACGCCGTCAAGTGCCTCCTCCGGCAGCCGGACGGCTCGGAGCTCGCGCGTCAGCAGCAGCGCGAACTCGCGCACCACCGCGCCCTCTCGGACGTCCCTGGGGTCGTCAGCGTGCACGCAGTGATCGAGGAGGAGTTCTACACCTTCATCGTCCTTGACTACTGCGCGGGCGGCGACCTCTTTGCCGCGATCATGGAACGCGCAACGTACGTGAACAACACCCCCGCCGTCAAGCGCACGCTGCTCCAAATTGTCGACGCCCTCGCGGCATGCCATGAGCGCGGAATCTACCATCGCGACCTCAAGCCAGAGAACGTCTTGTGCTCAGCCGACGACGCGCAGGTGTACTTGGCTGACTTTGGGCTGTCGACCCGGAACGAGCGCAGCACGAACTTTGGCTGCGGGTCCTCATTCTATATGAGTCCAGGTGCGTCCATCTTTCCAAAATCATTACCGCTTATAGTAGACTTACCTTCGTCTCTACAGAATGCTTGGGCATCTACTCAAAGAAGACCCCCTACCGCACGGCGCCCTGCGACGTTTGGGCGCTCGGTACCATCTTCTGCAATCTCATCACCGGCCGCAACCCATGGTACATCGCGTCCCCAGAGGCCGATCAGGGCTTCCGCCTCTACCTTCGCGAGGGTCCCGCCTGGTTCCATAAAAATCTTCCCATGTCAGTGGGCGCTGCCGAGATCCTCGGGCGCATCTTCGAGATTAACCCGAAGCGCCGCATTACCCTCCCCGAGCTCCGGAAGGCGATCGAGGAACTCGACACGTTCTACCCTCAGGCGGCGCCCTCGACCGCCGCCGTCGCGCCTAGCCAGCCCACTGTCGCGGAGCTGTCAGTGCAGGTAGCAGCGGACTCCGTTAACATGCCGTCACACGCCAGGTCGCAATCAGCGGCCGCTGCCTCGCCTGTGTCCGAGCGCCCCTCCGACAAGCCCGCGGGCGACGAGCTGCGCCCCCTAACGCTCAGCCTTCCCTCCCCACTCTCCGAAAACTTCCTCTCGCTCTCGCTCTCGCTCTCGGCGGCCGCGACCGCGACATTCGTCAACACCGACACCACCGCGTCGCACTTCAGCGAGACGCTCGACGAAGTGTGGCCTCCGTCCGCTAGTGCCGGCGCCGCCTCGTCCGATATCACCGGCATGCCTGAAGCAACGAGCGACAGCGGAGAGGAGAGCGGAGAGGAGAGTCCGGGCCCTGTCACCCCCGAGACGCTTGCGCAGGAGACGTCCGGGTCGCCTGTGGTCCCGGAGCTCAGGCTGGACGCGAACTCGCCCATGGCGGCCTCTGCGTCGCTGCCGCAGGTGGATCTCAACGTTGCACTAGAGGCTGTGAAGGGCGAGGAGATGAGCAGGAAGCGGCGGGGGTCGTTATCGCGGATCATGGACGGGATGAAGCGGATACGCAAACGGACCCTTGTTTGAGTTTACTGGCATCGTCGACTGGTGCTGTGCGTTGTCGGCGTGCGTGTTTGTGATACAGTACTCATAGGAACAAGAAGTAATTTGTAGTAGTATAATCTCCTGTAGCCATTAGCAGCTGATCTGAATACTGAAGTGTTACTATGAAACTTCAAACTCATCATCACAACGTGATTGCGCAACTCGGGATCATATGTCTTTACGTGCTTTACTACGACATCACTCTTCCTCGTCGCTCTCCAAGCCCCAATCTCCCTTCACGTTGTTCTTCCACAGATGTCGCATTAGCCCGTCTATCTCTTTCGTGATGTTGATCCATTCGTTCTTGCCTTCTGGCAACGGTGGCATCTCCAACGACGTGGTAATGCAGATCTTGTCGCCCGCCCAGGGCCCTCGAAGCAATCTCCGACGATACTTCTCGTGGCAGACGAGGGTCAGATTGTCGCTGTCCGTCCAACAGATGAGCGCGAGTAAGGCTTGCCCCAGCCCAAGGGACATGCATATGGCGCCACGTCTGTCTTGTTTAATTAGGAGGGTGAGCTCGGCATGGCGAACGTATTCTCCCTTGGAGAGGTTGCATAATACGGTGGTGTCATTCCATGTACGATTCGGTCGAACATGGTAATTGAGGCTTGTGAGTAGCTCGCATCTTCGCAGATCGAGACGCTTGGTCTTGCCCGACTCTGAATTGGGACTTGTCCCGCTCAGCTCGGCGAGTCGACGTTGGTGAAGGTCACTCCAAGCCTTGCGGTCGGATCTTGCGGTACTGCCCATGACGGGGCAGTAGTAGTCCGAAGTATAGGGGAAGAGATAGCGCGTATCCTCCTTATTGACGACCGTATTGTTCCACGTCCAGAATGTGTGCGTGTGCGGGAGGTGCCCGAAGGCCGTCTTCATCTGCTTCAAGTCCTCAGAGCATATCAATCCCGAAGGGATACCCTTATCCTTAGTGCCACTTCCAATGAAGATTAAGCGACAACCAGACCAGGGAGCGTGCTCCTGCTTCAGGACACGCAGGAGATGCGGCTTACTGATAGAGAGGATGTACTTGCAAGTGAGCGCAAAGCAGACGACATCCCTGGTTTCCGACATCATGCGGAAAATAATGTGCAGCAACTCTGTTGCTAGCTTGCCTAGGGGACCAGGCTGGAATGCGATGGGACTGATGCTCAACCACAGGTCCACGACGCTACATAGATCCCATCAGCTCGCGGAAGTGATGCCTTAGCCTTCACGGTGGCGACCTACGTGGGGAGCTGAGGGGCATACAAGACACTCTGTAGATCGCTACAAGCCCTCGGATCAAAGAGCCACCGCTCGAGTCTACCATTGCGGTGATGCATTTTCTCTCGCCTTTCGGGACAGATCCTAGACGTCCGCTGTCAGACACTGAGCAGACCAAGACATGGGCATCCCGCCTACACGTGCCACCACTGAGACATATCGCTAGTCGTCTGAGCGTACAAAGTTGCTTTTCGGAGCTGCCCTCGAAGTAAAATTAGGCCCAAAAGCGGTTCCGGTGATTGCTCAGTACTGGGTACTCACCTCGTAATTGTTCGAGTTGCGCCACCGTCTGTATATTGGCAGAGGTCGACTTGGAGATCGGAGACACCAAAAAGGCTCAGTAAGAAGGTTGACTCATATCCCGGGACGCAGGCTGCCTGGAGTGCAACAGAGTGTGCGGATATAAATATGATTCGGCGGAAGTAATGAGAAGTGGGACCCTGGTGGTTGCGCACTGGCGCTAACGTTATCTGGCGGGGTTGAGCTGCGTCCAAATATGGGCAACAATCTCGAAGCGCTTTCTGCTGAGGTATAGCGCTTGCCGCTGAGGTATAGCGCTTGCCATCACCGGAACTGATGATACCCGATGCAGAAGATCGTACTCGAAGAACGCTATATAGGAAGGGAGGAGGAGGACTGAAGATACATGGGAGCGCCCTCTCAGGCTGCTGCAACTGATACAACCATGGTTACTCAATCCCAGGACCGAATGGAACTGTACTGCTTCGGTGTATGCCCCATGTCCGTCAAGGCTCTTACCATCCGTGAGGTGACATCCTCCCACTCCGCATCAACTCTGAGACGATCCAGCTCCTCCATGCTGGAGACACAGAATCGATCCCCGGCCCACGAACCTTCCATCCGCCACCGGCCTCCCTCCTGTCCCTCGTGCTCCTCACCATCCCAGCGGATGCGGAAGAGGAGCACGTCCTCTACTGACCACCGCTTGGATGATTCCTGTCCAGATGCCAGTGCGTCGCCACGGACGTACTCGCGCTTTGCAATACTGAATAGGACTTCCTTCGAACCTGGACGCTTGGGACTCGGGATAACGCATCGCGTCCTGATACCATGTGTCATAGATGGGGATAGTCCAGTCCCTAGCTCTCCGCTTTTGCTTGTCTGGAGGCAGCTCTGCATCCTCCACGAGCGCCCAGCACTGCGCTACATTTATCAAGTGACTGAAGTGATACCAGAAAGCATCAGCCTTTCGCCGTCGTGCGTCCTTGATGTCGGGTATCGGCTGGTAGAAGGCAACCGCGAAACTATAGAGGCAGCGCCAAGTCTCCAGGATAGCTTGGAGTCGTGGTTTCCGCGATCTCCTTCTCCTCCGCTCCGGTGAGAAGCATTGATGGGAAAACACTTCCTACCTCGTACTCTTGGAGAAGGATCATGCGACAGTTGGCACAGAACGCATATGTGTTGCGGAACGCGCGCAGGAGGTGTGGCTTGGACAAGGCCAGGAGCGACTTGCATGTGATAGCGAAGAGAGCTATCCAAGGAATGTCCTCGAAGTATTGAAATATCATCTCGAGGAGTTCGAAGGGCAATCTTGAGAGCGGACCGTGTTGCATTGCTACATCCCCGTCTACGAGCAATTTGTCTATCTCTGTGCAACGTACTCAAGTCAGCTATCCATAGAACAAAAAGCTGTCTCAGAAGAATCACGGACTCTGGGACAGAAGGATAGTACGCCATGCTGTCAATAAGCCTGCTTGAACGGTATTTGAACCAGTACCGTAACCTAGCGACTCCCAAAAGCTCCTTCCTATCTATGCTCAGACTTTAGGATGACGAAGATTCAATAATCAATACCGACGACTTGCACACGCATGCGTCATGTATGGATACTCACGGAATGTAATCTGGCGGCATCGGGGTCGATGAGAAGGTGGTTGTCAGAATACAACAATTGCAAAATCCGCCACGCTATGCCAGCAACGTCACCCTCGCCCATCACACACTTATGTAACAAGACTCGTCTTGCGCGGTGGGGAGCGGTTCATCGGCTCACACGGAAACCATCCCTGGTCCCCCGGGCCGGTCCGCGGAGAGAAGCGGTCGGCTTCGTACACGAAAAGGCGGACGATAGGTCCTATTACACGTTCATGTAACCATCATACTCGCGTAAGTGATTGTTGCAGTAGAAAACTTGGCTCGTCTTCCGGCTTTGCCGGGCCGTATGTATTCCCGACTACAAGAGCGGGGGATGCGCATCTTGGCCTCGATTCTGAAATGCGTCTCTTCCGGCAAGAAGTAGTATGGATACATATGAACGTCAAAAGTTTCGTGTATGCCTACAAACAGCCAACATGATCCCAAAGTTGACAAATTACGTATGTACATGCCTGGTCGTGTCGTCATGAGGTCGTCAAAAACGTCGTGAATTCATGCCGTAAGAAGTTTGGGTTGTATCTCGTAGTCGGAAGGTCCGCCTCAGAGGCCGAGATTCGACCGGATGACGTTCTGCAGCGTGTATCCGTCGTCCTGTGGGAGACCGCTCAGGACCGTGACCTCACGTTCACATGCAAAGGAGACGTACTTGATCGAGTGACCATGTGAAGCACCCAGCCATGCCGTTCTGCTTCGCGAACAGCGCCTTGTCGCCCAGTGAGTAGGTGTCATCGTACGTCACAACGGTCTTGCGCGACGTGTTGTACAAGAACGGCGTGTCGCTGCAGTTGTCCCACCCTGTGTGCGACTGTCCGTTAGAATGCTCGCCCCCGGCTTGAGCACAGCGCAGCTCTGTGACGCACCCTCGGTGTACCCGTTCGCTTGGACGTACGTGCCCGAAGACGTCTTCTGGAGCGCGCCAAGCGCGACGATCTGGTTGAACGGAATCTGCTGGCCGAAGTAGCTGCTCAGATCGCCCGACGCCTCCGCCGACACGTCCTTCTTCTTTCCCTTGCTCCTCTCGTGCTTTCCATGAAGCGCGTTCGGCTCCCCACCCTCTTCCTCGCCTTGCGCGTCCTCTTTCACCCGCGGGAGCGGGCAAGCGAGACCGCGGTCGGGCAGACCGAGGACCTGCTCCTTGTACGCCTTGACGTCGAACCCGACCGGGGGGCGCGCGATGTCCTCGAGGGTCGTCTTCGTGCTCTGGGAGACGTACCCGTAGAGCGGGAGGCCGAGCACGAGCTTCGACGCCGGAAAGCCCGCAGCTGTCCACTGCGCGAGCGCGGCTTGGGCCGAATACTGCGGGAGGGAAGAGTTGCCGCACAAGTTGCCGAGCGGCGCGTTCGGGCCAGGAGTCGATGACGCGCCCCAGACGTCGTAGTTCCTGTGCACATGGAAGAGTGTGTCAGACAGAGTCCGAGGTGGGGTGGCAGGAGACGAGAGGGGTACAGAAGGGGGAAGCACTCACATGATGTTGGCGTATGTCATAACAGAGGCGTATGCGGAGACGTCGGTGAGCGGGTTGCCGTTTGAGCCGGTCCATGGCAATTGGGTGACGGCGGCGGAAATGATCTTGGACGAGCCGAGCGCAGTGCGAAGGGACTTGAAGAAAGACAGGAGATTCGCAGCATCGGATGAAGAGAACGGGTTCCCTGCGCCGGACTCGTTGGGGTATTCCTGAGCGAACGCCGTAATCATCAGCATATAGTCACTGCAAGCGAAGGACTGCAACATGCCCAGTCGATATCAATACCTAGTTCCGCGCACGTCAGATTTCACGTTTCGTTCAACCAAAGAGGCCATATGCACGTACCGTCGAGGTTGTACGTGTTGACCGCGCTAACACAGGCGTTAACAAATGTCGTGCGGTTCGCGGAAGTGCTCATCGCCTGTGAGAAGTAGTAGCTTCCACCCCAGCCGCCTGCGATGCGATGTCTGAGTATCTGCGTTCCACGCCGGTACGGGGCGAACGAGACACGTACCAATGGACAGCACGATCTTCGTGGCATGGCCGCTGTTGTGCGCCGCAGAAACGAGCGTCTTCAGGGTGCTCGTGGCACCGGAATCCCAAGAAATGCCAGAGGACGAGTTGGGAGTGGCGAATGCTGCATGCGAAGGTGTTAGATGTCATGCGCGGATCATGCGCTCGTCCCATCCAAGCCACAGGAATATCACACTTAGAGTTAGCGCGGCTGTGTCAACGGCACGACGGACGTAGTACGACCCAAGCCAGTGATGCACCCCGAAAGTACCGAGCGCAGCACGATATGGTTACGGCGTAAGAGTGGACGTACCGAAGAGCAAGATATCGAATTTAGAGAAATCTAGGGAACCTGGCGGATTACTGTCCGACGCCCAATCGGGGTAGTACGCTGCCACGATGGGCGTAGCTTCGGCCGAGATGCCCTTCTGCACTTCCAACGCCGCCTTTCGCGAGAGCGTAGACGGGATAGCATCTTCTGGGCTGAAGTCGCGCGAGGAGTTAGGCGAGGGCTTGGAAGGCGTCAGAAACTCGACGAGGGACTTGTGTGCGCGAAACTGGGGCAATTCAAGGAGCCCGGTGAGATAAGCGGACAAGCCGGCCTTGCGCTCCGTGATCAGGGCGTCGTCGAGCCATGCCGACGGAACAAAGATGGTCGCGAGGACGCGCTTGGGCGGGAGGGAGCCCGGGTCATTGAGGGTATCGTGAAGGGCGACGAACTGGAGGAGGAGGGATTGACGTCAGTGCACATCGTATGGCATTAGGAACGAAGCCGAACCTCGGAGTAGCGCTTGGAGATGGTGGACGTTTTGCCATCCGTCGTCTTGACCTCAACAGTGTAGAGGATATGCGGTCTCGGAGAGGACGCGGTAGTGTGGCCGACGACGGATGCTGCAGAGATCGTCATGGTCGGTATCCGGAGGGAGATTGTCGGAAGCGGGGACAAGAAGCGCAGTTAGACTGTGTTCTGGAGCTACTTATATATCTCCACATTGTCGAGTAGACGACATGGAGTGAGCTGAGAAAGGATATGTGGATCAGAGGCGGAGACAGTAGTGGAAGAGCTGGAACCCACATGGACAGGTGCGCATTCGACGAGACGCTTTCAGGTCGTAACGCACTCCAAGCAGGCAGAAGCCCTCGATGGGATCACCGGCGCATCTCAAATGGCTTCCATTGCGAAGCACGTGTCACCTCATGTCTGTCCCTCCGAGAATCCCACATACATGTTGCGTGCCGCTATCGACATACACTTGAGGGTTATCGGTAGGCGTATCTCCCGGACATCCATGTGTGAGATAACGACGGCTTCCGCCAATGCATCGCAGAGTCCAGGCAGACGACGTTTTGTCCAGCTCCTGTGTAGATAATATCATCTTTCGCGAACCAGAGCATGGTCACACTGCGGTACCGTCATTTCGCAGACACGACCTCTTGTTCCACGCCAGTTGTCGCTGAGCGAGTCCATCGCGCCGAGTCCATGTGCGCATGACCTGCACCGTGTGTAGATGAAAGTTTACCTTACGCCTGAAAAAGCAGGCGCACCTATTATAGGCGACGTGAAGTATGTTCTGCTTCCGCTGATGGCGACCATACTGCTGTCGGCACAAGACCGCAACGGCCTCAAGAAGCATCTGAGATCGCCTGAGAGCCGGCGCCCCGATCTCAAATATCGTCAGGCTTCTATCGCGCTCGGTGCATTCTCGCTTGGCCTCGTTAGCAATTCATGTATGTTCTCCTCCCTTCTATGCTGGACTATTATAGGCACATGCCAGGTCCGAACTCAAGTTCCCCCGGATGCAGGCTAGGCCGGATCTTCTATGTTAGGCGGGCTCTCTCTTGAGGCAACGAATCTGACCATACGCCGGCCACACGATATCGCAGGTCGCGAACATGGTCGGACATCTGACCTGCACTGAGTAGTCGGTAAGGCCACCTCCGAATATTCCCATCTGTCCTCGCCGACCCCCGAGATGACCATGGCTGCAACTTCCTATACTTGAAACAGGAACACTGAGCACTTCATAGGCAGCGGCATGATGGGGGAACAACCCCTTAATCCGATACAGGCACTCGAATTGTCCCCCTGAGAATACCTTCCAAAGGATACGCATGGTACTTGGTCGACGTGACGCAAAGAGCACGCCGCGGTCCTAAGGTTTGACGCGTTGTTGCATGAAGGACCTAAATGAAGGCCTCATCTCCGTTAACTGGACATGAAGGGAAACTCACCGGCTGTCACCCTAGGTACGTCCAGACCTGTCCTCCATCTATCATTGATCCATAGCATTAATTCACGAGCACTCCGCCCCATACTCAAGTAGGCTGTGGTCTATCGATGAACCCACGGAAGCCTTCGCGGCTCTTCTGGCGTGTGATCAAGCCTCCTGGGCCGAATGCTGCAGTTATCGGCGCCCCAATTGTGCCTCACAAGCGCATCCGCAATACGCTTGCTTCCTTCAGACGTCCAAATGCATGAGTTGGCCGAACGTGAAAGGGACAACAAGCAGGTGATGGTCAAAGAATATAGAGCAAGAGAGCAGGCGTCTCTTCAGGCAGGCGCCACGACGCGCGTGCGTGACCTATCGGGCGCGCGCGAGCAACAACGTCTCGAACGCGTCGATAACTTCGATTCCCGCGGTTGGCTTCCTGTCCAACCCCTTCTCCAACTTAATCCAAATGTCGTTGTCGCAACCAACGTTCTTCTACCCGCATTGTCAGTGTACAAAACCTGCGCGGAAGAGCCACACAACCCTGCTGACTTCTCGCGCAAGATGCCCGTTCAATCTCGAGTATGTCGCTCGCAGTGCTGACTTGTCGCTGGATATCGCTGCGTATTGACTGAGGATGTTCGAGATGGTCTGCAGGCTTGCGGGATCATCAGATCAAAATCCAGTGATGTCGCAAGTCGAGCAGGCTAATTTGACACAATATGTGGTGCGCCTTAGGTTGTAGGTACATGCAGACTACGCGTCTGTATGTTCTACGATCATATGTCGACGCATATCTGCTATAACAAGGCCAAAGCGAGGACTGACACGCCCCTCTGCATACAGCTCTCGGCGGAGCGCGCCCTGGCCATCGAGCTCATCGCGCATCCCATCTACGAGCTCCTCTCCGCCGCCGCCCTCTGTCGTGTGGCCTCTACCTGCCGCACCGCCCACGCATCGGTCCAGTCCTACATCGGTGTCGCGTTCAACGTCGACCGCCTCCTCTCCCGCTTCTTCCCATCAGCTTCCCCAGGATGTTCCGCCACGTGCCCGCACGACCACACGCACACCGAGGAGCACGTCCGCGCGCGCGCCTTCCGCTCCCTCCAGGCGGCCACGGGCACGCTGATCTCGGGCTCGACCGCGCTGCAGTTCTTCGACAGGACGTTCTGGCCGGAGAGCGATCTCGACCTGTACGTCCATGCGCGGCACCGCCGCGAGGTGGGACGGTGGCTGATCGCGGAGGGGTACAGGTTCAAGCCGACGAGATTCCAGGATCTGTTCGAGGTCGAGATCATGGAGTGCCTCGCGAAACGGCCGGACGGCATTTACTCGATGCCTGGGGTCCTGGCGGTGTTTACGTTCGTCAAACCGTTGCCCGGACTAGGGACGCCGAGGCGTACGCCTACACCTGAACCGGTCGAGGAGGGCGAGGTCATCTCGCTGCCTGATTCCTCGGACACGGAGGAGGACGAAGAGCCGAAGGAGCTCAAGGTGCAAGTCATCGTCACGAAAAACACGCCTATGGAGTGCATCCTCGGCTTCCACTCCAGTGAGCCTCCAACGTATCTTCCTTCCGCCAACACTGACGCGACCTCGCGCATTTAGCCTGCGTAATGAACGTCATCAGCTACGAAAAGGCATACTGCCTCTTCCCCCGCGCGACGCTGGAGGAGCGCCGCACGCTCATCTCCTCCTCCTGCCGCGGCAGAAGCCGCCACCGCGCAGAAGGGCTCGCAAAGTACGAGCGCCGCGGCTACAAGCTCATCTACAGCCTTCCCATGCACGAGGTCGTCCCCGACCCCGCCGCACAGTCCCTGTACCCCGCCTACGGCCACACCCGCTTCCCGACCCACTGCAACCTCCCGCGTGCTCGCCCGCACCAGACGCAGAACCCGACGTTCCGCTTGGGGTGGCGCTGGATCGACGACTCGGCGTCCTGGGTGCTCGGCCTGCCGCAGACGGGCGTCACGCCGCCTGCGCCCGCGAACGGCAGCACGCGCGCGCTCGCGCACGACCCCGTCGCGGTGTGCAACTGGGAGGTGCGCCCCAACTTCGGGATGGGCGCACTGATGCACTTCGAGACGGTCGCGTGCAAGGTGCTGCGGTACAAGTACCTCGTGACGGACGAGCAGCTGCTCGCGTACCTCGGCGAGGCGTTTGCAGCGAGGGGGAGGGTCGAGGACGACAAGGCGCGGCTGGAGTTGGAGGAGTGGACGTAGTGAGTGTAGATGTCCGCTAGTCAGGATATGATGCTCATGTTTCGGACTGCAGCTGTGACGAGGAACTTCCTACGCTCTGCCGCGACTTCTTACATGGGCTTGCGACCCGCCGACTCTCGTCTCTGCGCCTCTGAATGCACTATGGTATGGTGCCGAAAGTGTGCGAAGCCGTTGTACGATAAATGTGACATCTGTCGCGACCTTTTTTTTGCTGACGATCAAATGTGCCCGTACTAGCCATATATTACGACTAGGACGGATCGTTAGGTGAGGAGGGCTTGAGGAGGCATGTACTGTAAATCCCCTGGCATTGATTCTGCGGATACATTTCCCGCCAGTTATCACATCGGATATGTGTACAAGTGACAATCTCGAAGAGACACAGGTGCGAGCCAAAATGCAGCGGTCCTGATCTAGCAACCCTGCTCGCACGCCTGACAGGCACTGTTTATGATCACTCCTCCCCGGCTGCTTCGGCTAGAGCTCCCAACCGAGCTCGGCGGCAGTTACTCGTTATGTTTTATGTAACCTTGCAACGCGAACGTGCTGTCTCACAGGAAGACTACAGACGGTACTGTACACTGACGGGATGCTATAAATACATGTACACCAGACACAGTGCGGATGTTTGACTCCTTTCCTACATTCACTTATCAGCGGCCCTCTGGCTTGCGACCGCCTGCGCTACTACCTTCCGGGCCCTCGTCAGCTTTGCTGGCGTGACTACCGGTACTGTGGGAGTCGCTGTACGTTGGGACGTTGCCATAACGCAACTTCTGGTCTTTCTCCGCACCTTCGGAAGGGGGCACATCGTACCCGCTGTCGTTATCGACCTGGACCATAATGAGAAAGAAAACATAGCAAAGGTACAAGACGGGTACGTACCGTCTGGTACTCCTTCGTCTGCGGGCCAGCGCGAGAGTATTGGCCAGTGAGCGGCTCGTTGGGTCGCATTACTTTCTCGCCTACAGAGGTGCTGTCGACCTGGTGCGTCCGATCTGACGAGGGCGGTGATTCGTCGACATCCTTGAAGTAGGAATCCGCAGTGTGCGACGCCTCCTGATCGTCCGCTAGCCGGGGCGATGAAGTACAGAACGCCCGACGCTGCTGAGCAATGCCAGCAGGCTTATCCTTGCTAACCTACGGAACGATCAGAAAGTGCGCTCCTGCCACTCGACAAAATGTATGCGCGCACTTGATGCGAGGGCAGCTTCGGGTCTGCCGCCGCGTTACCCTTGCCATTATCGGGGGCATCCCCATACTTGTGCTGCAAGTGAGCGTTCTGCTCTCCATTCGTCCTCTCCTTCGGCTGCCTGCTCGCCTCGGGCGCCTGGCCAACCGTGGGTTCCGCGAAGAGCGCGGCAGAAGTGTGGTACGGACGACGGCCCTCTTGTGGTTTCTTCTCAAACGGCAGCGCGCCGGTTCCCGTGACGCCAACACCACCGCCCCTGTTCTGCTTCACTTCATCGGCACTGGTGCTCAAGCCGAGCTTGCTCTTCAGGGTTGCGAACAATCCGGGGGGAGTGCTCTCCTCACGTCCGCCCTTTCCCTCGCCCGCGCCGGGACGCGCCTCGCCGGTCTGCCCGAACGACGTCGCGCTCGCGCTGCCGACCTGCTCCGCAAAGCCGACGCCTTCCGTGTTCCCGCTAAGGCCTGACCGATCGGTCTTCTTGTCAGACGTGGGGTTGGCGGCGTCGTATGGGCTCGACGACTGCGTCTGACCCCTGGTGCGCTGGCCTGACCGAGCGCTTTGGTCATGTGGGTCACCGGGATGCTCATGCTTCGTCTTGCTGACGCTGCCTTGCGAGAGGCGAGGGTCGCGACCAGACGGGGTCTCGATCGCCGCCGCGGAAGTGACGTGGATGAGGCGGGAGCTTAAGCTTGTTGGGAGGGTGCGTGCGGAAGCACGAAGACTGCTGTATAAGACGACCATTGTGCGGTGAGTGATGAGAGTATGGTGTTGAGAGGGAGATGTTGCTCAACGGATGTTAATGAGGGGGCCGCGACCCGGCCAGCCTCAGGTATGCCCGTTGTGGGCGCAGGACGTCACTTGCGATTCCCCTGACGTCATGCAGGGCTGCGTCGACTCCAGTCATCCACACCGGACGGATTCGCAGCGGAACATCACGCATGCCTGGACAACGCATGGCGCATCGAGCGGAGCGGAAGGCCTTGCCGGGTGCGGACCCGAGAGTTGAGAACAGCACGTACAAGAGCGTCATTGATTGAAGAGCACTCGCGAACGAGCAGACCTCAGAATGGTAGCATAGACGCCCATAGAAATGTGGCCACATGAGCGCCAAATTACCTCCTATCTCTCCCTATGACCAGTTACCGCCTTCGCCGCCAAGACGCATCCTTTCCTTTGAGTACAGATCACGCTTCAAAAGGGAGATTCTCCTATAAGGCTATATCGTCAATGGGGCCGTTAGCTGCACGGATCGATGCAGGCAGTTCTTCGTCAATGTAACGCCCTATCCGCGCACCGTACGTGATGCTATGCTTTTGCCATTATGCATCGCACTTACCCCTGTCAACCACTGGTAACAAGGATCACCGGTGGGCGTATTGTCTCCTTGTTTCAGCTGTACATCTAAGACGTAGCCGAGCAGAGCGTCTCTGCTGACACGACGCCTACCCCATACCGGGAGCCGACGCACTCGGAGGGACGCCTTTCCTCAACCCTATCCAGTTCTCCCCGATGACGACTCCTCTGCCCCTCTCCTTCGCTAGAATGATCGCTCCACTTTGCTAATACCAAACAGCATCGTCCGGGTCCTGCGCCCGATGCCAAAAGCATCCGGCCGCTTGTGCCCGGCGCCCGTCGGTATCAGCGCAGACGACGTCCTAGCCGCGAATAGGAGGCACCAATTGCTGTGCCGTAACAAAACGCGCTCAATTTTACGTCTGTGAAACGCTACCCGTCCATCGGTCCCAAGCGGTCCTAGTCATATATATGCTACTTCTTATCAGCGCTGTCCCCCTTACACGAACGCGACTCACGCTGAAGATGGGGAATTGGTGGCAAATGTAAGTGCAGGTGTTGAGCTTGCTCCTCTTCTACGCTGACTCCTATGCCGAACTTCGCAGCATCAATATTGACAAGCGGGAGTCGAGCCAGCATCTATGGGGACAACTGGGCTCGTGGTTCTTCTACCCGCACGAACACTTGCTCAGCCACATCTCAATCCCATGCCTACCTCCGTGCGTGAATTCTACCTTCCCCATAATGCCTTAGGCATAAACGGTTCTCTAGCGATGTAGACGAGTGGCTTACAGAAGGCGCTACGGCCCTCCAAAGCGGCCCACTTGCACACATGCCCGTCGAAATCCTCGACCTCTTCTTCGACGAACGGCGAGGCCTCCACGAGGTGATATACCTCGCCATCACCTGCAAGCATCTCTTAAACGTCGGCAAGCGCCACGTCCTCCGGGCGAGCCGCGAGTATTACGCGCCCTGGGTCGGGTGTCGCCTCATCAGTCTCGACGACAGCACGCGCAGCCTCGACGATCTTCCCCCTAACATGCTCACTCAGGGGGAGGTCAAGGAGATCGAGGAGACAAGCCTCTCAGACTGCGAATTTGAGGAGGTCGAGAGAAGCCTGAGCAATTTCTCCGCGAGGTATTGCGCGCGAGTCTTCCATAGGGAATGGAAGCAGCCCCGGATCAACGACGCACACAACTTCGTGCAACGCCTCTACGGTTGGCGCACCCCTCCGTCCCCGGCCGAAGGCAACGAGGAGGTCAGCGAGGATAGCGCCGTCGAACGCGACGTTAACATGTTCAAAACACTGTACGGCGACGGCAGACACCCGTCCTACCCCGCGGGCGTTCGCGTACTTTGCAACCTCTCGAAAGGGGAGTACGTCCGCGCGGACGGCCTCACGGTCCCAACGTACGCGAACCTCGCGCATGCTTTGCTCGCGAGGATCTGCTGGACGAGCCATCAAGACGTCGGTATGGTCTGCGCGGACGACTACAGACCACAGTTAACGGGCGGAGCTTGGGCAGGCGATCGGTTCTGCGTCACGAGTCTCAACTCGCTTGCTGAGTTGGAGATAGAGGCAGGCGCGACGGAATGGAAGGATATGACGAGCGAAGTGAGCGATCTGCTGACGCATATATGGGAGAACAACAGTCTGAGATGGGTCGTGTTTTGTAAGTAGTACGTTTCTCGGATCGTTACATTTCTACTGCTTCCCCCCTCAATAGACATGCTTCACGTTTCTCGTCTTAGTGTGCATCCAATGCGTTTGGGAGTGATACGATCTCTGCGCCGCAGGTGGCATTTTATTGTGGCGGAAGGGAGGATGCCCATGGGTACGCCTCGGGATGGGGCGGGAAAGGTGAGATGTTGCTGAAGTTGACATTGGTCGGTGTGCCAAAGAAAACCTTTTGAACGAAAGGCTGCGCAGCTGGGCTGGAAGGGAAATATATCAATAAGTTGACCGAGGGGTCGTGCGAGGACACCGTACTATGCAGACAGCCCACAGTGAAGGTCGTCGGGCGGAGGACGAACGTGCACACCGACTTTGTCGCCGATACCCAACCAGTCGAAGACGATCTTCGAAGCGCCGTACACTACGCTGACCGATCCCTCCGGATTGGTCTGCGCCGGTGGTCAGCGTGTATCTGCCTCAGGCAACGTCCGGACACTCACCCACCAATCCTCTTCGCCTTCATCCCAGAGAATCGCACGCTGGGGCGTTCATTTATCAGCCACTATAGAAAGGCCCATCAATGTGCCGATTCATACCGGAGCGACCAGGGACACCAGCTCATGGGCGTCGAACGGGATTCTAGTTGAGTTGCCGGTGACGTTGTCAAACTTCCAGAGCTCGGTCGTGCTCCAGTATCCATACTTCGTCGTGATGTTCTCGACTTTCTCCGCTGCGCCCTCTGATGGTGTTTACCCTCACAGTAAGGAATACGGATGTTCCGACCGGTCAAGGCAGGATTTAACTTACTGCTCTCGTAATAATACCGCCAGGGACCTATGCCTTCGGCACCGCTTGACATGACCAACGCGAGCTTGAACTGTTCACCACGGTCAGCAACAAGCGCAGGGGTTCCCATGGTGGAATAAACCTTTACCCTTTCGTCGAAGATTGCTGCCGCGAGCGCTGTCTTCCCGTAGCGCGAGCAGCCCACAACGCCCACGCGGGAGGTGTCGACTTCCGGGACGACCTCCCCGAGCGCGTCGAGGATCTTGCTTTCAGCCCACGCCCATGCGGTCATGACACCTTCGCATTCGCGTCAGCCTGCCAGCTCAACCCACACAAACAGCCCGATGCTTACCTATATCGCGGTCCGCATACAGGTCCCAGAACGCCCCAATGCGCGCGTAGGAGTCGTTCGCGACATACTTGACGTCAAACGCCGCTACCGCAACGCCTGACTCTAGGAACGGCTCTGGAGGCACAGGGACCAGCGGGCCCGTCGCGATGACCACCGGCACGCGGTTTGCGCGCGAGGCTCCAGATGGTAGGGTGATGTTCGCCGGGAATGAGGCCGTCTTGCCGTCGACAGACACGGAGATTGTTAGGTTGATGCCGTCGCGAGATGCGCGGACCGTCTCGCGTGTGGGGTCGGGCCAGTAGCCATACAAGTAGTGCTGGACGAGCGTCTTGAGCTCCGCGCGGCGGCAATCCCAGTCTGCGCGGGAGCGCACGCGACGGTCGGAGAGGCGGAAGGTGAACGGATCCGGGAGGGTGGAGATGATGGGGAGGTCGGAGGGCTCGGGCAGTTGTGCAGCTGAGGGAGCGCACCCTTGAGCTATGGCGACTCCAATGACCCGGAGTCCTAGTACGATGATAGCGTGTAATGCTAGCACTTTGAGATAAATCATTGCGAGGTTGTTGCACTGATGGAAGTCGCAGTATGGCGATTTATTTATCTGACCTCGGGTGCGGCCCGGAGAGCGAACCAGACAGAAGGCCAACCTGCAGAAGCCATGGAAGCTGAAGAGATTCATCAACGAGCCCTTTTTGGGACTTTAGCGTCAGGTCATATGATGCATCGTGAATATAGTGGCACTCACCGTAGACAGATATGAATCACGTTTGTGTGCCATGCATGAATCTTCGTATTGCGAAGCCGAGGAATGCTCCAAATATCCACCTTGGAATCGGTCAAAACTAGTTCTCCGGCGACCACAAGGTCATGGCGGGCCGTCGGAAAACCTTATTATGTACGAAGCAGGGTAGTATGACCTGTGTTGTTGGTGGAGTCGCGGAACGATGTACGGCACGGTGATCGTCCGTCTACCACCTGAGGCGAAGGTCGACTGTGCTGAGGTGCGGACAACAGTGCTGTAATACACGCCTCAGCTGCTCAAAAGAATGATGTATATACTCAGGGCAGTGGTAATGGCGCACGCCCATCAAGAGCTGGACATGAGAGGGTCGTGCCCTTGCCAGTAAGGAGACTGATGCTCACTGTGCCTTTTGAAGGGGGTCAATATATATGCAACAATCTATATGCGGAGCAAGTATGATTTGGAACGTAATTTCAGTCAAGTTTGTAAGAGAACGATGTGAACAGGAGAAGTTTGTGATATCTGCTCACTTCTACTAGGGCCTCGGGGCCACTTGGAGTACAAGTATACGTTGAACGCTCAACTCCTAGTGAGCTGCACGCTAAAGGCGTCTGTCAATTGTACAAGCTTAACTAAGACAGTGGTGGCGATGAGCTCATACGACGAGCTCCAAGCTTGCTTGCAGCTCGAACACTTCGGAGGGAAGAGAATAACACCTGGGCAAACGAGAGCCAAACCGCGGGCTGATGCCCAAGGACGCTGGCCTGCATGACGCTCACGCCTCTGGTATGTTGCTCTGCACTGTCTGGGTCTGATGTCACAAGTCAGAAAGAACGCACCATTATGTTCCAGAATGGTCCCTTGAGTCCACCGGCACCCACACTGACATGACTCCTCGTGCTTCGAGGACTCGAGATTACCGCTAAGATGAATTCCTGTTATGCTTAGCTACGAACGTAGCTAATATATGTCGAATAAGTGTCGGCCGGTGAGGCAGAAGGAGGAAGCAAGAAGCGACAGTGGCGTGTTGCTCGGTGCATCCTCGCACATCTTCAGGCCGAGGGGAATGTAGCACCGGACGCGCATGAGGCGTTTCAAGGACATCCACTTGGCCAGCAGGCTTTGGTGGAATATGTGCGGCTTGTAGTAGAGTGGATTACCACGAAGACAGACATACCTCTGGGTGAGACACACAATTCCGGACCCTGGTGATGGGTCGAAGAAGGAATCCTCGGGACATTGTCGGGGGGTTCGGGCGAGGCGCGGCAGATCCGAGGTTGCCGTTTACTCAATGATTAGATTAGATGTAGAGATTGGATCAGATCTCACTTCTACATAAAGATGGTCGGATGGGCGACTCACCCTCACTCAACTAACAACCAAGTCTTCGTTCCGCCAACTACAGAACGTGTCGGTCTGTTCCTGCTTTTATTGTAATTGGATTCTCTGGTGTCACTTGTGCTAAGTGTATATGATCTCCATAGGTTGCGATTGACGAGTATGTCTGACAATGCTTGGAACCCCGGCTCCTGGAGAAGCAAACACGCAGCTCAGGTGAGCCATACATACTCCTTGAATGTAGCATGGGATTTTGACACACTCTTACTGAAAAATTTTACGACCAGGACGTTGTTTACCATGACCGCGAGAAGCTTGACAAGTAGGTACCTGGCAGAAGCGCCCATAAAGAAAGAATAATCAATGCCTCTGTAGAGTGCTCGCTAAAATCCGGACGTTGCCACCTCTAGTGTCACCTTCTGAGGTCTGATATCTGAAGTTGATTACGCTCATGTGACAATCTGACGAGTTCTGTCTTCAGATTGAAAGACTTAGGACCCAGCTTGCTCAGGTGCAGCATAACCGGGCTTTCCTCCTGCACGCTGGCGATTGTGCAGAAAGCTTCGATGCTTGCACACATGTGCGTTGGCTGCTCATTCAAGGAGCGCGGATCCTCAATACGTTACATAGGAAAACATTTCAAACAAAATCGGTCTCATCCTTTCGTTCTCGCTCATCGTGATTTGGGGGGCACGCATGCCCGTCGTGAGTTGACATGCCGCTACGTCACGGATTGTGTCCATGAATCATCCATCTGCCGTATAGGTGCGTATTGGCAGAATTGCGGGTCAGTACGCCAAGCCAAGGAGTAGCCCCACTGAGAAGGTAGGCGACCGCGTAGTCACGAGTTTCCGGTAGGTATCGGCTTTCCGGATGTCGGGCTTTCTCTTTGCTGACCGATCATCTCATATGCAGAGGAGACAACGTGAATGGGTATGTATAGTACCATGACCAGATACACGTTTTAGTATTGAACATTCATTTTATAGTCTCGACCCCGATGACCGGACTCCAGATCCTAACCGGATGCTCAGGTGTGCCTCACCAAATTGGCTGGGTCATGGCGACACATTCTGACCGCATCTCATGATGCAGCGCTTACTTCCATTCGACCGCAACACTCAACCATGTCCGGAGTTTACTTACATCAGGCTTTGCGTCTCTGCACCATCCGGAGGATTGGTCGCTCACCCACGTGCGTTCTCCTGCATTACGGTAGGTGTTCGGAAGTCGCTCCGCATGTCTTGCGCAGACATTGTACTATGTTTCAGTGAAGAGTTCGGGCGCATCACGGAGGGTCTCTCCGATGCCTTGGAATTCACACGGACGATTGGTCTGGGCAAGGACAGCGTCAGCTACGAACAGGGCGGCGGGCGTGGCGCCCTGGGAGAAGTCGATTTTTACACTAGGTCCGTAGACGTCCACCTCTATCCACAATCCATTCTAAATACAATTGGAATCACACAGCCATGAAGGTCTCATGCTAGATTTCGAAGAGGCGATGACGCGCGAGTTCGCTATACCTTCTTCTCTTGCCTCTTACACCTCCGATGGCACCAGGACGCCACCGCCAAGGGTTCACTATAACACATCGGCACACTTCCTGTGGGTGGGTGACCGTACAAGGCAACTCGACGGCGCGCACATAGAGTACTTCCGTGGCATCCGGAACCCGATTGGTGTCAAGATCGGCCCAAGTATGGACGCCGACGAGCTCGTCCGATTGTTGGAAAGTGAGTTGTGACCTTAGAGGTGCTGCTCCGGAGATACGAGTGCCCACTCCGCCTACTTATTAGTTGTCAATCCGAACCGTGAGGACGGCAAGGTGACGCTCATCACCCGCTACGGCGCTGGGAAGGTCGAGGCATGCCTCCCGGGCCACATCAAGGCTGTCCAAGTGTCCGGTCACCCTGTCATCTGGATTTCTGACCCGATGCACGGCAAGTAGGTATCATCTCGCCTTCTATCCGGCTGCGTGCATTCATCAATGGGCCCATAGCACTTTGACGTCCTCAACCGGGCTGAAGACTAGGAACTTCGGCACGATCATCAGCGAGCTGACGTCTGCCATCCGCATTCACTCTGAGTGCGGATCGCGCTTGGGTGGCGTCAGCCTCGAGTTCACGGGAGAACTCGCAGACGACGGGTTCAGCGTCACGGAGTGTCTGGGTGGCAGCATGAAGCTGAGCGAAGACCAGCTCCCGCTGAGGTACCAGTCGTTCTGCGATCCGAGATTGAACTTCGAGCAGTCGCTTGGTGAGTAGTACCAGATAGCTATGATGCGTCTCCTGAACACAGGGCTGACCTGCGTGCAGACGTTGCGTTCCTCATCTCGGACCACTTCAAGAAAGAGAGGACTGGTGCAAAGACGTCCTACGGCGATGTCTTGTACTCAGAGCTCGGAGGGCGCAAGCTGGCGTAATACTGACTGAGAAGAGGTCACGCAAGAAGCACTTGTGCCAACATGTTGTCCTGTTGTAGTTGTAGGACTGTGTGTATCAAAGTGTCCGGGTTGTTGGCTTTGCTTCGCTCTGCGGCTGAAAAACTTGCACGGCCTCGCCACCGAGCGCCGAGATTAGATTAGATAAGATAAGATGCTCGAAGAATGCCCTGTTCGCGATCGTAATCTGGGCCCGACCGTGCTCTCCACATCTTACATCGACATCTCTACCCGGGCTTCACTTGCAGACATTCTCTAGATCGACGAGGCGGAAAACATGGCGAGTGCAGAAGTGGAAGCATCAACATCCGAAGTGATTGCTCCGAAGCAGGTGCTGTATTGCGAAGGTGACGCCAACCCCTGCGAACTCGGTAGCCTTTTCACATCTCAGACATCGCGTGATTTCCTGTAGTATGCTCGTACCCCGTGGAGTACTGCGAGTTTGGATCCAGCCTGACGAAATGTAAAGAGTGGCTGCAGAAGACGGACGAGGCGCTCTACAACCAATTCTACTCAGAAGGTAAGTCTCAAACAATGCCCCCTGTGATGGGTCGATCTCTTGCGTATGGAGAGAGGAGGCCTCGCGGGTTGTCAGACCATCACCATTGAAGCTGGTATGCAGAGGCGCTGCAGGCGAAGATCGGCACGCTGAGCTTGGAGGCACAAGCGAAGCTGGAGAAGGATACGGCGAAGAAGGAGGCGAAGGCTGAGGCGAAGGCGGATGCTGCGCTCAAGAAGAAATTGGTGAGTTCGATACTCTGTCGCACTGGTATAGTGACTGACCGGGCGCGATCCAGGCATCACAAGTACAAATCCCCCGTTTTTAGCGTTCTCAGGACGCCGACTGACTTGCGTTCAGGTCACTATCAAGCGGATAGAGCGAAACAAGCGCAAGCACGTCACCGCCATCCATGGGCTCGAGGCGTTTGGTATGGTGTACCCTTGATCTCATGACAAAACTAGGGCGAGTCTGATGTTACTGCGTAGATGTCGACTTGAAGAAAGCGGCGAAATTCTTCGCGCAGAGGTTCGCGACCGGTGCATCCGTCACCAAGAACGTCCAAGGTTTCGACGAGATTGTCGTCCAGGGCGACGTGAGCGGCGAGATTGTCGACATGATTGAGGAAGGTGTCGGTCTGTTGAAGAACGTGCCCAAGGACAACGTGGTGGAGGTGGAGGAGAAGGGAAAGAAGGGCAGCTGAACGATTTGCTTCCGGCGTATCTAGCAGGAAGATGTATCATCATATTGGTAGGTTCGCTTCGTTATCTGTAAGTGCATGATATACTGACGTATACCCTTCCTGGCAATGCAGTATCATACCATAACGTTTTCTTCTTATACACAAGCCCAAATGACGTCGAGGCGAGTGCAATGGAAGTCACACGCTGCTTAGAGAGACATGGACTCGTGGCCAATAAGTCCAAACGGCGATACGGCTCTTCCAGGCATAACTTGGACCATCACGCCCGGTGGCTTACTCTGCAGGACGTCGATACAAACGAGCTAGACCCGGCGCTAGCGTGCATGTACCGCAGTGAGACCTAATCGGCTCCAGATTGCGTCCCTGCCGGCGTGGGGAGTGCAACTGACCTTGAGGCTCATGCCATACTGGTGGACATACCCCTTGCTATCAGCTGCCTGCAGGTCTCGCATGACCTCTCCGCCTTAGTCTACGGACTCACGCAAGGGGATGGAAGACGACGACGACGACGACGACGACGACGACGACGACGACAGCATCTGAATAGATATCTACGCTACTAGGGACACGGTACATTATAACGAAGCTACAACAAACGGAGCATTACCCGGAAAACATCAAGGAACGGCTAAAAATACAGGAGTGGCGGCACAGCTCCACCAAGGGCGTGGTGCGGCAACTAAGGAGCGAACGGAAGGGTAATACAGCGGAAATTACATGCGGGTTGGGTACAGGATAACGGTGAGGATGGGGTATGGTCGCAACGTGAGAGCATGCGAGGTCGTGAGATGTAGAGATATAAATAGGGATAACAGATAACGTAGATCGCGAGAAGTGGCAATCGCGCGAGAGCGGGAGCAATGGGGACTGAAGTCGTGGCTGGGACCGGGATGAACCACGACGCCGGCCCGTGGCTACCGGACTGGCCGATTGCTCAGGGACGGGGGACCTCGACTACCGCCTGAAATACGGCATCGTGGCCGTCACAGTTTGAGATCGAGACGAGCACAAGCTCATCAAAGTCAAACCGCTTGACGGCCCAGCACTCGTTGCCGGGGGAGACTTGGGCCCTGCGGGCCTCCTGAAAGGATGGTAAGCGCTTGCCCTGCAACGCGGACACGTGACTAGAACGTACCTCCCAGAACTGGCGATAGAATGCGACAATATGTCGCGCAAGGTCCCTTCGAGTGATCGGGCGGCCGTGAATGACGGTAGGGATGCTGTAAGTGTGCGCCATATGGCCATAACCAGGCCACTAAATGCGACAGTCAGCACAACCCGCGTGCAACTGCTAATAACAGAAAACGACGTACCAAGATCCTGAACTCGGCCCGCCCTTGTTGAACCAGCGGGAAAACACACTCATTGCCCGAGCGGAGGGATTCAACCAATTGTTGGTCGACATCGGCAAAATATACTCCACCCTCCTGGGGGTTGAAATGGATCGCCATCTTAGGCCACGTTAAAACGCGGCCCGGAGAGGGCGTGAGCGGTTGAGTTGGAATCCTCACCCGCCTGCTGGAGAGAGGAGAGTCTGCCCGCGTGATGTACCGTTGACTTGAAGGGATACGATTCTCCTTTCCGGACGCGGGTAGGACGCACCCCGTGTTTGCGCCTGAGAGGGTGGAGTAGTTGGAGAGCTGTCCCGGCATAAGGGTGGGATGACCAGCAGTGGAAACGAAACCGGGAACACCAGCCATGATGTACAGTCGATGGACAGGGATAGAGAGATATTAGGCAAGAAGATGAATCCTCAGGTAGAATACGTGAATGGGTCGGATGAGTAGATGCGTGTCGTCAGTGCAGAACACAGGCCCAAGTGGGTGCGCATTTTATGAGTTCTCCCATCTCCCTGTCCAACATGTCGTTGCATCCCAGCGGTGGCAAAGAAGGTGCAAAGCGTGCAGGTTGGCCTAAAGCGCGTCGCTATGCGTCCAGCAACAGGAGAAAGCCAAAGAGCCCAGGGAGAGCGGGTCAAGGCGTAAAGGAAGACTCACACATAAAGCGGCTCGTGAAGTGCCGGAGCAAGCGCAAGGAGACAATTGAGGCACACCGCTTTACGCTTTGCGCTTGAGACCAAGCGCGCGAGCTCATCGGTACCTGGGAGGTCAGGAAAGGGTGGGGGCGGTTGAGCTCTGGTTGCCGGAGGATTGAGAGTACAAACATACCTTACAGACAGTCGAAGCCGCAAATTGGCCCGCGGACTGCAAGTACAGACAGACCTGGCCCTCATGAGGAGCTTTGGTGATTGAGAAGCCATGCTGCTGGCTATGCGACACATGGCCGTCCTTTCGGGCCCGGTAACAAAGGAAACGTGGCCAAGAGCCGTCAAAGAGATGGGCGTTTCGGCTCCAAGTCTGAATGCCGGAGAGTGCTTTGGTCTCAGTGCATAGCAACGATATGAGACGACGAATGTTTGGAATGAAGCTGCGGTAGAGGATATCTGCCTCGAGGTCGACATCGACGGGCCGCCAGCCTTGTGTGCAAACAACTTAGGCGCCTGGCCAGCTTACGATCACGTGATCAGATACTCCGTAGCTTATGATCAGTGGCACGATGACCCGGCCATCCATGATACGTAAGAGTGTGGATGAATGGCTCTGCATCGCTCCCTAACCTAGACCGCTCGGAAAGCTGTCCACGGAACTATTGCAGGCGATACGAGTGAAATCCATAGTATGGACAAGGTTGATTAATCGCTATGATCTGCACGATGTTCTTCCTCGTAGGCATCGACGGCGACAACCATGTACGCACGGAAGTACGTTATGGCGGTGGTGGGAGGTGGGAAGAAAGTCCCACGCGCAGGGGCCGAAGATCAAGCAGTTTCGGACCTTCTGCTTACGGGACACAATAGAACGTGGTTAAGAGGCAAAGCGGTGCCGTCTGGCTTCGCCGCAAGCTCGCGATGTGGTTGCGGTCTTCCGCAACCATGACTTGTTGCCGAACGAGTTGCGTCCGTTCTCGGTGTCCAACTTTGGCTGCTGCGATGCAACCGTGGCACGGATACATCAGAATATGACCTCGCACAACGATTTTGTGTCAATGGCACTCTCTGCGGAACCTATCGCAATAGATGTCATGGCCACTAATCAGACATTCAGGAAATTCCCACTTCATGCCATGAACATGAGGACGACAAGAAATAGCCTCAATGGCTTCCCATTCGATGTAGAAGGAATGAGGGACGTTAACATGATGAATTGAAGACGATTAAGGAGGCGATGATGGCCTACGAGGACGAGTAGTTGTGATGCCGGACGTGCTGTATCTACGAATAAATGTCTATGCAGTGTGATGTCTACTATGTCTACTATGAAGTCTATCTATCTGTCAGACCTTGAGGGAAAATACGATATATGAATAGCAATATAAGAGAAGACAGCAAAAGAAAGGAGGAGAGAAGGCTGAAAGCGAAACTACTCGACGACGGCACGTTTCGAGCGAGCACGAATGGATCTACCGTATCGGTAGAATAGGAAGGGAATCGGAATCTAGCAAACCAAGTCAGTATCATCGCCGCCGCCCCGTAGTATAGGACGACTTACCATGCCGAGGGAGATGAAGCCCCACACAGACGCTGCCCAGCCATTACCGAGGTTGTGGTACATGGCGGTGATAAATAACGGCATCGCTGCACCGGAACCGGATCGGATGACAGTCTTCGCGGCAAGCGCAGAGGCGACGTAGCCAGGGAAGGCGTCAATGAGGTAGGCGTTTGCCGAGAAGTAGATGATAACCACTGAAGGCGCGAAACGTCAACACAGCCCGACGAGTAAAGGCACGAGAAGGACTTACTTCCGAAACCGAAGGGGATACCGGACGAGACAGGGCCAACCCACTTGCCGCCACCAGGCAAAACAGCAGGTGGACTCGTCCAGCCGAAGATGAACAGGGAGATGGGGACGAACCAGCACCCCAGCATCATGCCGACTAGACGGTCCTCAGGGTCAGCCCGGCCACCCTTCTCAGCCGCTCGCCTCAGGTAGTCGCGCTCGATGCGAGGCGTAACGAAGAGAGCGAAGGCGACGCCGATGAGCACGGAACAGAAGGTCAGGCCGACCATTCCGTCATTCCAGCGATAATCCTCGCCGAAGACGACGGGGAAACTGAAGAAAAAGGCGTAGAGGAGGCCGTAGATGAGGGCGATGTACATGCTCATGAGCAGTAGAATGGGCTCAGTCACGATCATTTCTGCAATGTTTGTCAATCTATCGTCCGGAACATGCGGCGACGTCGTACTTACGGAATGGCCGGAGAAGAGTCTCCGTGATAATCTCGCTTAGCGATGCCCCAAACAACTCCTGCTCGGTGGTGATGTTGGGATCACCGGTCTTCTCACGCAGACGATGCGCGCGCCGGCGAAGCAGAGAGGGTGCGAATGTCTCGGGGATGGTGAGAGTGAAAAGGAAAATCACCCCAGCGAAGATCATATTGACCCAAATGATCCAACGCCAGCCGATCGTCTCACCGACGAAACCACCGACTATGGGCCCGAGAACAGGTCCACCATACGGTGCAGCCGCGAATAGAGCGATCGCGAAACCACGTTCATTGTTATCCCAGACGTCGGATATGGTACCACCGGCGAGTGTCAGGGGAGCAGATGCGAAGAGGCCACAGAAGAAGCGGCAAATCAGGAGCGTCTGGATGTTCTTGGCAACAGCGCAGGGGATGTTGAAGATGACGTAGATGATACTAGGAATGATCCAGATCGGTCGACGACCGTATAATTCACTCTGCGATGTTTTGAGCTGAGCATTCGTGCTCTGGAGCCAAAGAGAAGGAGGGACTCACCAGCGGTGACCAAGCCAGCGGACCAATTCCAAAGCCGACGACCATGAGGGAGACACTCAAGGCAGTCACGACCTCACCGACGTGGAACTCGCTTTCAATGTCCTTGAAGTCACCAGTGATGACTGCGCTTGCAAACGCCACTTGGACGACAGCCATGGCACAGACGGCAGTGAGATCTAATAAGCCGACAGACGTTAGTTGCCGGTGTACGGTAGAAGCAGGAGAAGCACGTACACCAACGGTAGAGGTTCGACCAGTTTCGCGGATCCTCCGCATCATCCTCCTTCCATGTCACCAGCTTCATCTGCTTCAAGGCACGCGCCTTTTCAGGATCAGCTAGCGCTTGGGGCAGTCGGAACACATGTGATGGTACTGGCCGCAGGGCGAGGTCCGCAGGCAAGTATCCGGTATCAGTGATCACACGGTACTCGTCTGTGAGACCACCCAGAGGGATATTGGTGGTTTGGAAGGGGAAAGAGATATCAGGTCGGCGATCGTCGTGGGATTCGTGGGTTCGAGTTCGTGTGAGCCTGAGGCGGTGGTCTTCATTGCGCCCACCCTCGGGTAGGGTGATGTGCGGCGGATGCGTCGCAGAGTCAGGTTTTGTTTGCGACGCATGACGGGCTTCTTCGGGCACAGCGATGGTCGACGTCTCACTATGAGGTATTGAAGACGAGACCATGACGATCCGAGGTTGTGAGGCACAGAAGACGAGATGAGAAGCAGTGTGTGTAGACCCGAGAAGCGCTCCACATGATTCCCTTATATACAGTCTCGGTCGACGGAGGGGGACGGGCGACGAAGATTGCTCGGGTCGGCGCTTCCAGGGCTACGGTGGAATAACGCTCCAGCCCGCCCATCAAGTCAACGGCCTCGCCGGCTTGTCACGACAAAACGCGGTATTGCAAGGCCGGCTAGGAGGGGCTATGTGAGATATAACCAACCAAAAGCTCAGAGAGCTGTTGGTCTACCTCCGAAGCCTTTCCGAAGCATAACTTGTCCTGGGCATTCCGTCTGCTTCCGTTAGAAAAAATGCCATCTCCGGAAGACGGCTACGAACCTCAATCATGCTGCAATTCTGGAGGACTGCTCCTGCTCGAATTGCTGTCTTGTTGCTATGCTGAACTATTGACAATACCATGCCTAACATTGGAGGATACAGAGGTCGATTCACAGGAGATGGCGATGGTCTCAGTGAAGTCGGATTAGACGCCCGATGCTTCGAGCCGGAATCGGGTGTGCACGGAAGCCGGAACGTTCCTCGCCCAACATCGTTCGTGTCGAGCACCACCTAGAACAACGTTGCGCTTGTTTACCTGTGTGCCGTGCAAAATTTGCTTCGCACCCGACTATCCACTCTCACTGTTTTGCTGGCACTCTACTCGTGGTCGCGGAAAGTATTCGAACGCCCGTGTTTAGGCGCCCATTGACCGCTTCTCCTCCTGGTCCTGTAAGTAGTATAAGTAGACATATCTCTACCGTAATTGAGGTATATATTGCTGTTATTGTCAGGAACGTGTGCGCACCATGTGATAGGAATATGATCTCTATCTTGAGCCAAACTAGGCTCAACAAATACCAGCATGCTCAGTGAGCATGAGCAGAACATTTGCTATTCTTGGGTACTGAGAATTGATCAGAGTACCTCCATATTCTTGCACATATATCTAGCCATAGAGGAGGGCTTATATCATGAGTGGTTGATAGCTTTTGGCCATCCCTTTCTTGAGAAAATAGTCCTACAATACTAGACCAGCTCTTTCTATAAAGCCAGTAAGACACTTTCTTGCCATTCTTTGGTTCCCCTTATAAATACTGTGCACCCTGTTGTTATAGGTACATGGATAGAGAGGGATACTAATCTAATCAGAACTCAAGTCTCTAGCTTTAGCTATGGCATTGGAGAAATGCCCAGCAGAATACAATATCCTTGAACCACACTTACTTTCGACTTATATTAGTACTAATCTTTCCAAGCAGAGGCATAGATACACCATACTTTCTAATGTTGTAGAATCTCCCATATGAGCAGAATCATGCGCAAGAATTTGGAGGTACTCTGACCAATTCTCAGTACCCAAGAATAGCAAATGTTCTGCTCATGCTCACTGAGCATGCTGGTATTTGTTGAGCCTAGTTTGGCTCAAGATAGAGATCATATTCCTATCACATGGTGCGCACACGTTCCTGACAATAACAGCAATATATACCTCAATTACGGTAGAGATATGTCTACTTATACTACTTACAGGTACCAGGAGGAGAAGCGGT